AGTTAGTACCCACTGTTGGTAGGTACTGACCACTGCATACTGGGAACACCCCACGAGACCTGCCGTTTTGCAGGTGCTCTGACCCAGTCATCTAGCCATCACAATTTGGCCCTTGTCAAAGTCGCCCAGATCCTTACATTTGCCTATTTTTTTCCTGCGTCCAACACATCAACTTCAAAAACTGACTGTTAACTAGCCTAATATATAATGGCATCTTTGACAGGTTATTCACTTCACCTGTCACTGGTTTTAATGTTATGGCTGATTGATGTATATACAGCTACAGAAAAATTTAAGAGACCACAGCACAATTTTTTATTTCACTCATTTCTCAATTTATTGGTGTGTGTCTGTGAATATTATATATATTTTCTGCAAACTCCAGCCTGGTTATTCTCTGTTTCTCATCAACGAAGGGCTTCTTCCTTGCTTTATAGTCCTACTTCTAGGATCCTGATACAAACTGTCCTAGCAGTGCACTTCACACCTGCACTTAATGTTTCATATTCCTTTTGAAGGTCACTTGATGTCATCCAGCTATTTATGAGAGACTGTAGGATAAGTTAACCGTCATCTCTGGCATTACAATGTTGCTTCCACCTTTTTACTGGCTGGTTTCTGGTCGTTCCCAGTGTCTCCTGCTTCACCTTATTCTTATGTGCTGCTGTCTTAGAAATTTTGAGCCTGGAAGCAGCCTGCTGCTCAGTGTAGCCTCTGCCAGCAGAACCAGGATTAAACCAGGGTTTAACAATGCAGATTTGTTTAAAAATATAGAGTGGTCTCTTAATTTTTTCCCAGGCTGTATGTTGAATGAACATTTTCCCCAAGGGAACAATAAAGTATCATCATCATCATCATCATCATCATCATCATCATCATCATCATCATCATTGGCGTCCCTGAAAAAAAACAACAATCCAGGAAAGGCTTACAAAGCCACTTTTAACTATGGCAGAACCGTCCTGTGGCACTAAGCTGCAAAATCAACCTGAAGAGACCTGAGAGGGAAGTAACAGACAGTGATCATAAGCTGACCAGCTGCCTGGGTTAGCTTAGGGAGAGACTGGTGTAAACACAGTGATGATGTCAAGGCTGTTAGGCAGGAACTGCATTGTCTCCATGGAGATATCACATGCATGCTCATTCAGGCCTAAGTCAGCGTTTTCCAATCCGGTCCTTCTGAACCCACGGACATCCCATGTTTTTGCTCCCTCCCAGCACTCCTGGTATGGAGCAAAAATGTGAACTGTCTGGCAGGGAGCTGGGAGGGAGCAAAAACATGGACCGACTATAGGGTACAGTGCTGTAAGTACATGATTATTCTATTTCCGTTCCCATATTTGTGAGAAATCATCTACTGGTCACCACAGATAGTAGGAGCTTGGATCCTCTATATCTGAATGAGCAAAAGAAACCTCTAAATTATTTTTTTTTTACAATAAGTTCTCAGAAAAGCCTCGCCGGAAGAATGTATGTCAGAGTTGGGATGAAATGCCCCTGTAGTGCATTTCAACAGTCTATAATACTTTCCAGGGAAACATAATCCCTCCATAAATCATCCTGAAAGTCTTAAGACCTGAACAAAAGAATCTCAGTCTATATATAACACCGTTATATAGGGCATGCAGAATATATTTCACATAATCAGAGTAGAAGAACCAGACTTTTTGATTTGAGCCAAAATCAAAATCACAAAGACTGAACATTTGCACCAATAGGCAAGGTGCTTGAAGTGTTAAAAACATTGCTTTCATCTGCAGAAACACGAAGTACTGGTGTGATTTTTATTTTGATCCAGCCTGAAGTATTTAACAGGTAATTCAACATTTGACAATTGTCAGAATCTCCTGCTTATACTGTAGTTGGTTGTATGTTTCTTCTCTGGCTAAAATTGCCTGTAATGTGATCTGTTCCTATAAATTACACTTGCGGATTCATAAAAGTCTCCTCCTTTCAGTACTTACACCGCACATTAGAATTAATAAACCAGCAGCCACTAAACAATATATTGTTTATATAATGCTGTAAAATGTACTTAAAACCTTAAGTCATATTTTAGGGAAAAACTGAACTAAAGAGTTGGCAAATGGTCAGGTGTAAAATTTCTACACTTAAAATGGTTCTGAAAAATGTGCCAAATAGAAGAGGTATATTACTTACTAGACAGAGGCCTTGTTTCCTTTTAGTTAACAATAATAAAATCAAGTCTTAGGTTCACCAAGGTGCCATAAAATACCACCCATTGTCCACTCATCCAATGGCAGGTATCAGAGATTAATCATCAGGAACATGATAGCCTGCTTTGGAGGGCTGGTCCAGACCAGCAGATTTTCATACACTATGTCCGGTGGCTCCACCTTCTGCCATGGGAGTGTTACTCAGAACCGCAAGGGAAGGCTGCGGCCATCTGGCCCAAGACGGTCGCTTGCTGAGCCGGATTTCCCGGGTTTTTGCTGTGACCTTCCTCCGGCGATGCTCCCAATCCCTCTGCGGCTAAAGTAGCCCCTTCCAGGTGGTACAAAAAGGTGTCTGTTTAGATGGGAAAGGTGAGGGTGGGATTAAGCCCAGTTAATACTCACTGTCGGCCCTGCATCACTGCTCTGTCTATGTGTGTATTATACATATGTATGTACTGTACAGTATGTATGCGTGTATGTATATATACACATACAAATGTATATATATATATATACACATAGATATATATAATATACACACACCGTATATAGTGTATCTACAATATGTGAATAAATAAAATACATGTATATTATATACAGTATATTATATTAGTTTTCAGTCTAAATGCTGGGACTGATGAGTGGGGGAATAAAGTATGCAAATGATGAAACAGTATAAATGAGCTACAGTTTGTTTTTGAAATTCCGTAATTAGTCAAATTGTTGTGATTTTATGTCTGGAAGGCAGGAAGTGCCAAATATAATCCCTACAAGGTCATAAGCATACAGAGTTCAATTCCAATCCAAAAGCTAGTTGTCTGTATAATTTTACTCAAAAAACAGCACTAAAATGGGAAAGTTATGGGATGTATTGTGGAGAACCTGTGATGGGTTTGTGGCCCATCCTGGGTCATTCCCTGCCTTGTGCCCATTGTTTCCAGGATAAGCTCTGGACCCCTGCGACCCGGAATAGGAAATAGAAGCAGATATGGAAAATTAAAGAACAAATGAATAAATTTGGAGAACCATTATATTTGTGATCATGCATACGCAGAGCCATTTTTGCACAAGTTTTCAAATGGACAGCTGTCTGTGAAAGTGTGTTTCTGAAGGAGCAGTAACTGGTCCCAGGATGTGGTTTTGCTCTGTTCTCAATGGGAAGCCTGCTAGCTGCACGCTTTCTGCAAGGCGAGGCTCAGCTGCCTAACTGAAGAAGGCCGCAGTGGAACGCAGCACTGTGGAGGAAATGCATTCAGGGCTGTATACAGTAACTTCACTGCTAACATGGGTCACACTGATTGTTCTTTAATCTAGATGATTATATTAAAAGTTTCAAAAGATTATTTTAAAAGGTGCAAGATAACAAGGTGATGTGTAGCTCTGCATGTTAGACAGCTAAGCCTGTGTCTGGAATGTTGTGTGTTTGGGTTTCAATCTCATGACCGACATCCTGGTTCCTGAAGCAAGGCTCTTAACCCTAAAGGTCCCAGGCGCTGGATGCTGGCTGACCCTGTGCTCCGATCCCAAGCTCGCTTATATGTAGCTTGGGACAAGTTCATGTGGAATATAATGTGTATGTATGTAAAATAAAAGGAAATGTTGATGCCCATCTTGATAATGACTGCATTCCCCCCTAATGATGATAATTTAGGATACTTCAACTCTAATGAAAAAGACAACAATAAGTAGTTTCATGTGGTACTGCCTCATAATATGTTTGTAATGCAGAAACATTGCAGAGAATGTGGATACATGTATTGGTCCAATGTACAGCCCAGAGTGCACCCAACCCATCAGAACTGATTCTGGACCTGTGATGCAAGCATACGAAATCCCATGTACTGTACTTATCATTCATATCAATAATGAACCTTTCTGTCAGGTTAATGTCCACAGCAAGGAGCTCTGTCCTGTCTGTTACCTTATTCGGTGCCACTTTACATTAAGGGTACGCATATAAAGAGTTTATGAATGGTTTATAATCTGGTTATTAATTAGGTTGTAACACTTTGTAAATTATTAATAGACAATTTTAAACAAGTTATAACAGTTTTCTTTTTATTAATGAGTTACTACCATTTACAAGTGGCAAAGGGAGCCTTATTGTAAAGTGTTACCTCTTATTGTTCATCAAGGCTGTTCTTTTGTCTCCCTAGGCCTTGTATCCCTGTCTCCTGAAGCATTTTAATTTTGCCCCATTTCCTCAAGATACAAGTAGTGTGAGAAATTGCCGGGAACTTGGAGGAATTTAATCATGAGCCCTCTGAGGATACAATCATTCATAGAAATATAAAAGAATTTAAGATTCATGTGACAGAAAATCACCTTGGACAATAGCCCCTGTCACACCAATGAAAAATCACAACAAACACAAAAATATTCATACTCATGGATTCACAAACACGGGGAAGTTGGTTTTGTATTCCAGGATGATGTATTGAAACTTTTAAAGGCTCATTTAGGAAGTGCAGTACAACCTACTGTTATAATTTAAACAGCATTATATAAGAAGGCAAAAACAAACTACATCCTAAATGTCTTACCAAAGTATAAATGTAGTTGTTTGACAAAGTACCATGGATACACAGACTAAAAAGAAACTACTCTTTGCTAAATGTTTTTAAAGGCATTCTTTACAATGCACATTTCTAAAATGGTTCCATTATATAAAGATCTCTGCTTAATTTTGTATAATTTATGTTGGAATTTTAAATATCTTCCAGTCCATATAATATATACGTCACACAAAAGCAGAAGCTTCCTATCTAGGGTGCAGCCCTGTCTCGTGCCGGATACTGCTCCCCACGACCCTGACGACTGTTGTAGCAGTTGATGGATGGATGGATGGAATTTTATCTGTGACAGAAATCGGCACAGAAACTTCAAATGGGTCATTTAGCTTGTTTACAAACAGTTGTGGTTATAGATCTTAACAATATATGTAAAAAAATATGAATTATTAGAACATTAAGTAGGCCTATTTATTAAAAACAAATCGAAAAATATGAAACAAAACTTTTCAAAACAACTATAACAGAATCAACAAACATAGCTTAAGACAGTCGGTGTTCTTCACGGGAGAATTACTGGAAAATATATATCTAAACGAATTTAGATAAGTGAATTTGATTTATAGCTTTTCGACGAAAACTACGATAATTATACGCATGCAAACAGCTGTATAGGCCTACATGGGGAATAAATCGTCACCGTTTTGTTGCTAAAGACAGGCTTTATTGATTACACTAAGTTTATTCTGGGAGTGGTTTATATCGCTCCGCTAACGAGATTGATAAATTTACGTAGCTAAAAACAATGTTTAACTTTCAACGAAATGGCTTTCCCTGAACGTAGTGTTTCTGTATGATATACATGTATTTTTGTTTTGCGATGGAAGGACGCGGTGAAAGACGGCGAAGAAGAACCGGAGTCGCGGCTGCAAACGCGACCTCGCACAGGCGAGTGCTTGAAGCTAAGTAAGTATAACTTAGGATTTTCTCAATTAATGCAGCCCTGTTACTTGCTAGTTAAATAGTGTCAAACACCTTACTTTGCTATCCTGCATTATCTGTTGTTTGGTTCATTGCCGAATCTTGTGTATATTTACTTAGATCAAAGACTTGCACTGCGCTGTTTTATACGTTTTGCTGAATATTTTTCACGACTGCAGCATTATACTCGCTGTTGGAAACAATATATGGGCTGCAAATATAGCAGGAGTTACTAAAAACTGATGTATATTTGTAAATAAACGGAGCAATGTTTGTGAACAACCGGTGTGATGATGTTGCCTCATGGTCTGTTAGATACGCCGGCGGTAACTTAAGATGAAGCACAAACGTAAATCCTTATAAACTTTTCAGGTCGTTTTTAGCCATAAGCTTGAATGGTGAGACAGTTGTATCAGTTATATTCCATACAAAAAAACATCAGTTTTTCACTGTTAGCCTTTTCAGTTTCTACTCTAATGGTAAAACCTTTAGTTTTATCGGCGTAAACAAAAAGTTAAATAAAGGAATGCATTTTGAAATGTAGGTGGTAAGGTGTCCCAGTGGGAGCTGAAGCAGACCCCAGCTGTTTGTGTGTGTGTGTGTGTGTGTGTGTGTGTGAGAGAGAGAGAGTTTTTTTTTTCTTTCTTTTTTATTCATGTTCTGCGTCTACAGTTTGCCCCCCTCCTAGACATCAGGTTTAACCGTTTAGGTAACCCGAAAATACTTGATTCCATGTAATACAAGCTCCGGAGATAGACAGGAAGTTAATTTCCTGTGAAGATACTATTTGTTGGGGTATAATATAGCCATTTTGAGGGATTTAAATAAAATTGCGTAATTGGGGATAGGTTTTATATTGCTCCAAAATGTGAACTATCCCTCAGTTTTCATTACGATTAGGCCTATGTTCTATAAGTGTGTGTGTGTGTGTGTGTATTTTTTATTTATATATATATATATATCTCAGAGCAAGTTTTTCTTTCTGTAGCAACTGTGAAATCTATTTGTAGAACTCACCTATTGGAAATTTCTGTGTTTTAAAGGAATTTATTAATATTTGCTTATATCTAAAATATTTCCACAGTACTGAGTATTGCTAATCTCTTGGTTTCATGAAGATTCACAAAAAGCATTTTACTACTTGTTCTTTTAGGCAAACTAAGCATTGCTGAACGCCAAAGAAACTGCGAAGCCTTTTGCAGTTTAGAAATTGTTTGCGCTTTTGCCTTTTTTTTTTTTGTGGCAGATGACAGTAGCTCCTGACTGGTTTGCAGTTAAGTACCTGTGGCCCTTTTTAAATACAAATCCAGCAAATCGTTCCAAACCAGTCTGGGTCTTCAGCAGTGAAGTCACTGTTCTGTCTTTTTCCATATTGCGCAGAGACCGGTCATTAAGCCAGAAAGGCTGCTTTTGCTGCTCAACTGTGTCTCTGTGGCCTGGTCTTATTCTACCCCTGTAACACAGTGCATCTTTGTCACTTGTAAGCTCTGCTGGCACACGATACTGGAAAAGCTACCACACTTTGCCATTCACATCTGGCTGTATGTATAGCAGAGATGGAGGCTAGTTCAGATTAAATTACCCATGAACCTCGCTGGAACTTTTTCTGATTTAGTAACCGAGAGCTATTTGTGTCACATGCCGGTTGCACATATTCTCAGTGCTTTGGTTGTTCTCTCAAAGCTAATATGCTACTCTCAAAGTTAATATGCATCTCCGTCATCACAGTGACAGATGGCCTCTTTGGTTCCATGGTCACCTTGTCCTCTTTTTGTTCAGAAATGGGCGTTTTGCATGCCACTGTAGCCTGAGACTTCATGTTTAACATCCACAGTTACTTGAAGAAAGGGGTTCCTCACAGCTGACTGAACCTCTCCCATGACTGAACTGCTTGCTGCACACGTTAAAGGATACACCTAGTGTATGCATGTTTGATTCCTGGGATTGGTACTAGGTTTATGCATTTTTCTTAGCTCAAGATCAGCAGTTGTTTTATAGATACTTAAATACCTTCTGAAACGTGTGCTCTGTGAGGGATTGGCATCTAATCCAGGCTGCTCCTCTGCTTTTCACCCTGTGTTTCTTGGGATAATTTGCAGGCTGCCTGTGACCCTCTGCTAGGTAAGCAAGTAGAAGATGGATGGATGGATGTTGGTAAATTTATATACAGCTATTACAATACAGTCTCTCCTGGGCTGGTTTGTGTATGTAAAATGAAAATGCATTTAATTGTTTTCGGTGTGTTTTTGAACAAGGTAGCTCAATTTTATATAGTGAAGGACAATATGTAGCACTTCATTGGTCAGTATGTCTTCTAAAATATGCATATGTGTGTGAATATGTAAATTAACATGGAGAAGCACTGGCTAATGTTATATCCAGTCACATAGTCCATAGGTTACCATGGTAATCCAAGGTATCCATGTGGTGCTTTATTTCACAGGATGCTTAGTTTTCTCCTTTTTCTTTAAAAAACAACTATCAAATGTTTTAAATGTGGAACAAAAATTTAATGCAGAATCATCATAAATACAAAAGTTTTAATACAAAATCACATCTCCATTTTCTTTTTTTAGCTTTCTATTACCATTTCCATCACCAATTTTACATTATTATCAAGTACTTCATGTTCGTGTCTTTGCCTGTAAAATAGGCCAGATAGCCTGTCAGACTCCCACAAGACATTGATAAACTGGGGCTGATCATGTAGCCAGGCATCTAGTGCTGGTTTTAGCAGTCAAAGAACTAAAGTCCCCCCCGCCCCGAGCTCATTAGAAACCTTTATAATCACTGCAGTGGATTCCTCTTAATGGGAAGTGACAGACGCTCTGAGGTTTTCGAGGGACAAGTGAGAGGTAACGATCACCACAATCAGATTAGCCCAGATTAAACTGAACATTTATCGGCAAATCCTAACGTTACCCTGGCTTCAGCATCAACAATGGTTTGGTGCTCTAAGACATGCACCTGTTGAAGGACTAGCAGCGGACAGCCTGTCAGTGAGAGGCGCAGCAGGATATAAGGGTATATATTATTATATATTTTTTTAGGTTAAATTTTTTTTGCGACCCCAAAAATAAATTGTTGGATGGCTGATGGTCCAATCCATATGTGTCAGACCTGCATACCTTAGTGGGCTATGTCCTGTGTATCCTTCCTATTGAGGACTGTGTACGGAGCTATGTTAAGTGGAAATCCCAAGTCAGAACTGCGAAACATCCTGAACGCTTCACATGTCGCTCGTTTCCAAATGCCTGGATTGTTTCAGAGGAAATGGAAGCAGGTATGGTGATATTTTAGTGGTGAAAAGTCAGCCATTTTGTTTTTCTTGTTGCTTTACTGTAAATAAACAGAGAATTTATAGGGATAATTGGTCTTAACTATGGCTGTGACTACTCTGATAAAATGTAATACTTTTAACAATTGGATATTTTAAATTAAAAATGCAGTGTTATGCCTGGTTTGATTCTCAGTTTGAAACACTAAGGTATAATTCGGGATGCTGGGTAATAATTTAATGTTCCGTTGAGGTTATTTTCTATGGCTGAAACCTGAGCCAGTAGATATTTGGGTACCTGGGTAAGCAGCAAAGTTGAAAGTTGAGTAAAATCTGTTTTCTGAATGAATCTCTATGTGCAGTTCTGGTACCGTCCTGCTGTCCAGACAGAGCTGCCTTCATGGGTCTTTCATTAAAGTAGCTCCTTCATCAGGATTTTAAGGACGGGAAGAAAGGAAAAGCTCTTACATAGACTTCAGGAGAAGGTCTTCAAAAGCCGTCAGGATGTTGAGCGCAATTTTTCCGGAACTGGACAACCCTTAGTGTGATTTCTGTTCAGAACGTTCCTGCTTTTCTGCATTTGCCTGATAAAAATCCAGTTACTGCATTCACTCCGCTATTCACATTGCTACATTTATTATGTATAGTGGGCAAAATCCACTGTCAGAGGAAGGGTATTTGTTGGGCTGTGTTTGTCATTTGATGTTGATAGCTGGTGGTGTAACATTAAATATTGTAGTAGAGGCAGCGGTGGCTCCCAGTATACCTGTAAGCATCCTGCAGGATGGAGTCCTGTCTGGAGTTGGCCCTGAAGGGAGAGCGGCTGTGCAAGGAGGGCAGCTATGGTGCTGGAGTCTCCTGCTTCGAGGCCGCCATGCAGATCGGGACTGGTGACCTCCAGATGCTCAGTGCCATTTACAGCCAGCTGGGGAACGCCTATTTCCACCTCGACGACTACGCCAAAGCTTTGGAGTTCCACCGCTATGACCTCACCCTCACCAAGTATTCTGGTTTTTTCCACTTATCCTTGTGTAGATCTAATTTTTTTTACAACTAGTTTCATCGATTCTTATTAATCTGTTTACATTCACAGGACAATAGGGGATCAGCTTGGAGAAGCCAAAGCAAGTGGAAACATCGGCAACACTTTGAAGGTTTTGGGGAGATTCGAGGAAGCAATATTTTTCTGCCAGAATCACCTGGACATATCCAGGATCCTTCATGATAAGGTGAAACATTTTTGATAGACGTGGGTTTTTAATGCATTGTTTGGCTTTGCCTGACTGTGGAATTGGAGATAAGCAGTTACTGTAAATAACTAACTGCAGAGCTTGAAGAACTGGGTGTGACCACAATTACCGGTTCACATTGCAGGGCTGCCCACAGCTTAAAGGCGAATTCCAGAATCCTATTTTGCTTCAAGTAAATGCTGTAGAAATCACCAGACTACTGACTCTACCACCATGCTGTCGCAAAACCGTCGACTAAGCAAGAAGTACAACTTGAATTGGAATTTAGTTTGAAAGAAGTTTTAAGTGTTAAAGACTGCTTGTGTGTTGTGTTCCTCTGAAATGGCAGGTTGGCGAAGCCCGAGCGCTGTACAGTTTGGGGAACGTGTACCACGCCAGGGGGAGGAGCTTCTGTTGGAGTGGGCCGGACCCCTCTGACTTTCCAAAGGACACTCTGCTGGCGCTAAGGATGGCTGTTCGCTTCTATGAGTGAGCCTTCTGGCTGTTAGCAGTGCGTTGTGTTGGCTTGCTGTGTTTTCATGAGGCGCTTTCACACCGTAGGAACTTTTTTTTTTTTCTTTTTCTGGGGACCAGGGGCTTTTGTTGTGTTCACACCGCAGGAACTCGGCCCGATTTGTAGTTCCTCGAATGCAGTTCCGGAGCCCTTTTTTAGTCCTTACTCCAGAGCAGGTACTTTTCATTAGAACACAAATTACTGCGGAGGCACTGGCACTAACATGGAAGTTATGCAGAAGCGGAGCTAAAATTGAGCAGATATAATTATTTTTTGTATGCAAATTACATTTAATGCATCAGTTAATAGATTTTTTTGCTTGTGTCTCCATATTTGTTTTGGAAAAATCCATTGCTTTCCAATATACTTTTGTCTAATATCGCTGGTGGTGAAACTTGCCAGCGCTTATATATTTGTGGGATAATGTTGGGTTTTTTTATTCTACAGAAAACAGAAGATTGATCTGCTGGCCAGAATTAATGAGAATCACAAGCGTTTTGCGGGTCGTATAAATAAAAGGCAGTGTCCCGTTTTTGAGTGCAATCGATCCCCCCAGTAACTAACAAAATGACTTGTGTATCCTCCCATTGTTTTGACGTGGCGGTGTTGTTTCATATGAAATTGTGTGAAGTTTAACCTATGAGCTTTTTGAGTCTCCCATGCTTATTTAGCATAAAGTCTCAGGTCCTGTTGTGTGGTGTGAAAGCGACACAAAAGTGCCCAGGAGCTACAGAAGTTCCAGGTCCAGACAGCCCAAGGACTTTAAACTGGGACCAGGTTCCAGAACTTTGGTGTGAAAGCGCTTCTACTTTCTGTTTGAGTGTTACTTTTTAGAACCAGAGTAATACCTTTATTACTCTGTGTGACATGGACCCTTTTGCGTGTGATCTGCTTCTACACCGGTCATTGCCTCTTACAGTAAATGGCACTTCATAGGGGTGTCGGGGAGGGGGGCACAAAACACTCCCCTCCATCTGTCTCACAGCCGCTCATCCAGTTAGCTGTCCTAGCTATCTTCTGTGGAAGACCTTGTCGTGTCCTTTCATTCCTGTCTGAAGGGCGAATTTGTTGATAGTGAAGGAGCTGGGGGATCGGGCTGCTCAGGGGCGAACCTATGGCAACCTGGGTAACACGCACTACATGCTGGGTGACTACGGCAACGCGATTGTGGCGCACGAGCAGGTAGGCCTGGCCGTCTCATGAAGGACCCTATGGGTGACCCTATGGTATACCTTAATGTCTTTGTCTCTCTCACACTTTGCCATTTTATTATTGCAGACCCCTGAATTCAAAACCCTTCCTGGTTAAAGAATTTTTATCACAAATTCATTTCGTACTTGTCTTGTATTAAGCTTGATTTGTATTTAATGTTAAGCATTTTATTTTAATATTTCTTTTCAATGTTACTATGTCTTGATATTTAGTTAGGTGTTTTTTTTTTTTTTTTTTATTGATTGAATCTGATTTTTTTTTTGCTATCCAGTAGCCATAAATTGTGACATGCCATTAAGCATTCAAGCGCTCCAAACACTCTGCACTCTCTAAATGCAGCCAGATTGGTTATTTTTTTAATATGACAACTGCCTGTTTTAGCCTTGTCATGCCCCTCGTCTTGCATCCGAATTTTCAGTTCTGAGATGAGTTCCGACGTAATGCTTTTAAAATAGCTTGGACCTAAAAAGTCTCGTTTGCTTTCGAAGAGGCTGCTCATTGCCAAGGAGTTTGGTGACAAGGCTGCGGAGAGAAGGGCGTGCTGCAACTTGGGGAACGCTTACATTTTCCTTGGAGAATTTGAAGTGGCAGCAGAGCATTACAAGTAACGTTTCCTCTCAAGCCGCTGAAGATGCTGCTTCCATGTGAATAGCAGTAGATTTTCTTTTTTTTCTGGCTGCTGAAGCGGGGCAGGTGAAGCACAAGGCCTGTCCAGGTTTTTCTTGCGGAGCTATATTTGGGGACGGGGGATGATGATGATTCTTTTTTCTGAAATGACCCAGTTCTGGGAGTGTGGCTGAGGTAAGTGTTGGGCTGGCTTGCAGGAGGACACTACAGCTTGCTCGGCAGCTTCAGGATCGGGCGGTGGAGGCCCAAGCCTTCTACAGCCTGGGAAACACCTATACCCTGCTTCAGGACTATAAGAGGGCCATCGACTACCATCACAGACACCTTGTTATTGCACAGGACCTCAACGACAGGTTGGTCGGCAGAATTTGCCTGGGTTAGGGACCTTAATGTCACCATGCTAATTCAAAATCAAAGGATGATCGGTCTGAATGCTTTCTGTGTCGCGGAGGATAGCGTAGTGGTTGGTTTGTGAATGTTCTAACAGACTTTAGTTTTCAGAGGTTTCTTAAATTAGACTCTCTGTTGGGTGTGCTTCTGTGGCCAGGGTGGGAGAGAGATGTGCATGCTGGAGTTTGGGCAACGCCTACACCGCTTTGGGAAATCTTGACCAGGCTATGCACTTTGCTAAGAAACATCTGGAAATTTCCAAAGAGGTACTTCTGCTCGTCCAGCAATTATGTTATTGGAACGTATATTGTCCAAAAGTATCATGCATACTTAGATTTCTTTTTTTTAGGTAAAAGGGAACGATTCCAAACATATGGTAATTTTAAATGGGAAAATAAGTAGATACATATTATTGACCCAAGGCTATACGATGGGTTACGTGTCTGCTGGCTCCCTCTGGTGGCCGTTTGTTAATGTGCATGTTGATATGTCCTGCCTGTCCAGTCAGCCTGTGTATCCAGTAAATGATACACACTCAGCTGTCCAAGTAGGGAATGATAATCTCCTAAAATGTATCTATTTATTTGTCAGCTTTGTGACAAATGTGTTGTGGTTTCACATTTTAAATAAATTACGCTTAACCAAACAAAATCCATTTTGTCCAAGTCTGTATGCGGACATAAAACTTTCTGTCTTTGACAGACAGGAGACCAACGTGGTGAGCTCACCGCTAGCATGAACGTCTCAGACCTTCAGGCGGTTCTCGGTCTCCGCAACAACTCTGACAGCAGTGCAGCCTTGATTGAAATTGAGGGGCTGGACACTCAAGGTAATCCTTAATAATTTTCTACCTGAATGTCCACGTCTCATAGCCCCTGGATGAATCGGAAAGGTATTCTTGTTAGTGCCAACCTCTGTTCTTGGTTACTCAGGGGAAAAGCCCAGAGCAGAAAGGCGAGGAAGCGTGGAGAAAATAGAGCTGGTGAAACTGTGTCCAGACAAGATCAGTGTAAGCAGACAATAACCATTTACTTTGCATGAGAAAATTAAAGAACCAGATGATAGTGATTGTCATATTTTCTATCTATTCTCTGTAAAGGAACAGAAGCAGAATCCTCACGACATAACCAGCCAGGCTAAGGTCTCGTTGGCTAAGACGTCCTCCAGGCTGTCCTTTGTCAGTCGTCTCCGAGCAAAGATGCACAGAAATAGCCGCTCTGCCCTAAAGGCCCCTCAGAACTACAGTAACAGCCTGGATGTAGAGGGAGACCTAGAGGGGGCAGGGAAGGTAAGCAGAGGCCGTCACGTGGTGCCAGGGTGGCTGATGGTGGACCCACCAGAACTGGCTACACCTTCCAATAAAGAGAATTGAGCTGTTCAGATTTTATTGTGAAAAGTACCCAGTAGCTCAGGACAGCTTCCAAAAATGCTGAGTTTCCCTGATAGGACTTGGCTTCTTTTTCGTATATTTTTTTCTGATTTCATGTATATTGAGCATTTCTCAAATATAATTGATATAATGCTGATGAACTGTCTTGTTCTCATTTGCATCCGTCTTGAGGGGTGTGTCATACCCTTCATCCATATAGGTCTTCAGTGGAAAGTCTGTCTGGACTTTTTTTTTTTTTTTTTTGTGGCAGTAGCACACTGTAGTGTTTGAGCTATATAACTGCTAAGATCTGGGGACTGGTTATTGTGCGTCACAGGCCCATGATATGCTGGGAGACGAGGTTTTCTTTGACCTGCTGAGCAGATTCCAGAGCAGTCGAATGGATGACCAAAGATGCAACATACAGGAAGGCAAGAGCCATATATCTGCCCCCAGCAGCCCTACCCCACCTTTGCCCAGGCCTATGAAGAAATGTGAGTTGGTTTCTTCTTGGCTATTCTGTCCAACAATGCTAGCAGACAGATGCTAATCCAACCATCTGCTCCCCACCAGCTCACACGATTTTGGCATCCTCACCACACGAACCCTTCCTGGATGCAATTGCCAGCTTTCAGAACCGACGTCTGGATGAGCAGCGGGCCAGTGCAGACCTCCTCCCAGGCCTACGGGTCAACCAGCAGCACCACCAGTCCGTTCTCAGCCGCCTGAAGGAGAGCGGAGATGCCAAGGAGCCCAGCGAGGACTTCTTTGATACACTGGTCAAGTGTCAGGTTGGTTTGAGTAGACTGACATCTTGCCATTAAACTTAAACCAACACGCTCATTTGGCTACTAACTCAGGGGGCCAGAGGAGTCTGGTAAGGTCAGGAAGGACACGTAGATATCTATGGAGGACTTTCAGGTACTGCTGGACTCTATAATCAGCTTAGCAGCGCATGGAGGAAGAAAAACCAGATAAGATTTGCAGTAGTGTGGATGAAAGAGAACTACATGAGTTTTTTTTTTATTTTATTAATTGCAATTTCATTATCTTGCATAGTGAAAAAGGATGAATCAGGTGTTGAGGCAATGATTGTACTGGTAAGACAGTATGAGAAGTAAAGGTAGGGAGAGAGTGTTGACAGTATGTGGATGAGATCATTGTTGGAGCATTTTGAGCTTTGGCGGATTAAGATGTTGCTCAAGCATGAATAGACTTCCAAGAAGAAAAGGAAGGAAAAGCTATCAGCTGGTGTCCTCAGGGAAGGACCGGGTTCAAGCATCATTGCCAGGATTAGCCTTGTTTGGTGGTGCTGAAGGACTTGTGGTTTCTCTATGCCACCTCATAGAAACAGTCAGAGACAGAGTGTGCCCCTGGCGCTCATACCCAGAAAAATGCCCGTTCACTGTGTCAAAGGCAGCTCAGGAGACTAAGGAAGATCTACACACGCATAAGCCAGCATATCAGAGCCCTTGGTTGGGTTTGGCTGCAGTTCCCTGTGCCCTAACCTCACACATGCACCTTTCCCTTATAGAGCTCCAGACTGGATGACCAGAGATGCGCTGGGCCTCTGTTGACCACTAAAAGCCTGACCGTTCCAGATGATGACTTTTTCAGCCTTATCTTGCAAGCTCAGGCCAAGCGAATGGATGAGCAGCGGGCCACGTTCTGTCCTTTCTCACGGAGGCCCAGCTCCAGCTGAGCTGGCACACTGCTGTGTCCAGTCGCCCATTTTGACTACAAATAGCACAATTGTCTTTGATGAAGGAATCAGGGTTGAAGCATATTTGCCAGACTTTATAGTGACAAAGATGGACGTGTAAGTGTGGAAACTTACATTGGGATAAGTTTAGTTTTCATTATGAGACTCCCTGCGTTTTCCCTTTTTCTTCTTGGATCCTGATGTTGTTTCCAGATCTTGAGCTGCTTCGTCTTTGATAGTAGGACTTGCAAGAAAAGGTAAATAAAACAAAACTGCTCACTTTCCATCTGCTATCAGAGCAGTCCAGCTCCAACTGCACTAGAAGATGGGTCACCCAAAGAAGAACTCTTAGAAATCTCTGGGTGCAACCCGGCGCAGAATCCTGCTGGGACAGAGGAAGTATTCCTGCTCCATAGACTACGAACGCCATCAATGGGAACTGCTGCTCTAGTGAAAGTGGGGAAGTCCTTCATAGGCACCAAAACGCCAAGACTGCACAAAACCCAGATCTGACAGAAGTGCAGAGAGAATCTTCCTATTGAACTAGAAATTTTTCACTTTGCCACAATTTGTCATGGAATTTGTTGATAGCAAGTTTGCTTTATAAAATACTACCTAGTAAGGTCTTGCTCACTGTAGTTACATCTGTTTGGAACTGTAAATGTTGGCTTTGCATCAGAAATGTACAGTATTAAGTAAATTTTGATTGTATGACTAAATGTTGACGACTCGCCATGCCAATAACTATACAAAGTAACTTTACATCCACATCCGTTTAATCTTTGGGTCAAGTTCCCATTTAATAACGATATTATAAAGGTTACAATTATCACAACGTGAGGGTTACTATCGTTTATGGCATATTGGCAGTAAAAACCATATGATCTCCTTGCCACCTCACCCCTATGCCCCTGACCCCCTCTTGCCACAGTGATCTGTAGCTTATGCAGCCCACACTGCCACCTAGTGTCAACCACCACTACCACAACAAAATAATGAATGGCCCCACACTAAATTTCAGTGAAGGTCATCAATGGAAGGATGCAAATTCACAACTACGGACTACAATTCCACACCGTTCATGCTGCCATTGTTCTGATCCTCTGGTTTATATTCAAACTACAACATAAGAGAAATAAGAAAAAAATGTTCTTGGCACATGTTCAGTAGTAGCATATACAAAACACAAAATTAAAATGTTAAAGATGTCACTTTCTCTCAGTTTAGAACAGGGGTCTCCAACTCCGGTCCTGGAGAGCTACCGTCCAGTAGGTTTTCTATCATACCCGGCTTCTGATGAGCCACACCTGTTCTCAGGTAAATACCAGGAACAGGTGTGACTCATCAGAAGCCAGGTGAGACAGAAAACCTACTGGATAGTAGCTCTCCAGGACCGGAGTTGGAGACCCCTGCTTTAGAAGTACAATAAAGTCCTGAGGTATTTTCTTGTTCGTCGCCTTCCATTGTGCTTCAGTGGCCAGGAATGGCTGGCTGAGTTTCTGCCGTGGGGGGCTTGATGAGCTCATAATTCTCATCGTAGCAATCCTCCATCCAGGACTGCAGTCAGGAAAGGAACAACGAGTCAAGAAATTTTAAAGACTGGCTGCAGGTGCCACAGTGGCTTTAGGGAGAAATTTATCGAAAGGCAAGGAAATGCTAAGCATATATATCTTGCCAGACTTGGAAGACCGGGAGCGGTCATAGTCACTCAGAATAAAGATATTCTGAGCACCACGAGTTTTATTTCCTAGGACTCTTCATATGAATCATGTGACGCTTTTATCCAAAGCAACTTACAAATACAGGGAAGGGTTACAATTTTTTTTTTTATTGTATTTATTTTTTTTTGTGTGTTCCTTGAGATTTGAACCCACAGTCTTTGCATTGTAGTTGCAATGCTCCACTTAAGCTATGGTACCTACTACAAAATTAATACATTTTCATTTAATTCATTTAACTGATGCTCTTATCAAAAGCAATTTAGAGTACATGTACTTCCAAGGATTACCATGGGAAAATATATTACCAGTGTTGGTGTGTTTGTTTTGGAATTATGTGTTCACTAAAGCTAAGCACTGTTAATCATGAGCTAAATCACGTACCTGTTGTCCTGGATCATGGCTATTGGCTGCTTCAGACTCCAGGACCTCAGCGGGCATGTTTGGGGGATGTTCTATGCTGTGGTCTCCCTCTTCAGCCCCTGGTTGGCCATTATTCCGGTAAACAGGGGGCTGGTTGGCCTCAGGACGCTCAATTTCTCCAGGCTGCTCCTGCTGCTCCTCCTGCTCCTCCTGCTGCTGCTCCCCATTTCTTCTGAAGCATTTTGCTAGCTTGTAGACAAACTTTATGAAACAAAAGGAAATGAACATTTGTTAAAGCCAGTGAAAACCTAGGTTCTGTAAAATCTATTATAGAAGGAAACCAACTTTAAAAAAATTTGACCATTCACTGTATGTACAGGTTACTGTCAAACTAAAGGTAACATTTGTGCAAATGTGATGGATTTCAAATGCATATGCTTAGCAGCTGACTTTATGCATAAGTGTTGGGTATGTCCAACTGCCAGTTAGGATCTGATGATGTTCCATGAAGAACCACAACAGGTGGAGATGACAAAGTCTGAAGGAAAATTACTAAGACTATTAATGGAAAGATGGAATCAATGAGGTTCAATATTGTACAAAAGCACAGACTCTGTGAGTTGCTGCTTTAGTTTACTATCAAGCGTGAGCTGAATAATGTGTATGTCACATGTGTCCTTCACCCTAAAACAACATAACTGCAGTAGTGTCCCAGACACCTGTATTTTCTGTGGCAAGGTACCCGAGACACTTTTGTTACATGCTTAAAACCTAGTGGGCATTTAACATGCATTTTCAGTGTGGTTTCCATTATTTTTGCAGTTACCTAAACCTTGTCATTAAAAAGGCCTTTTACAGGTTAACATGCAGTTTGTTTACAAAAAATGTAAGAAGTTAAATTCTTCAAAATAATACAGAAGGAATACAGGAAGATATGGAAACATTTTATGAATGTGGTCCACAGAAAGCATACTGTACACCAATATTTCTCAAATCAGTTCCCGGAGAGCCCGAGATGTTACTCCTCTTACTAGGACAAAGTGATTATTTTCGAATGTTTGCTAAGTCAAAGTCTAAAGAAAACAGTCTCATTGTGCTGGGGACAGTCTGTATGTCTTTGCTTGCAATCCAAGACCCTGCTTAAGTGCTAGTGCCAGACATTTCTTCTTCAGAAAATGGAAAATGCAGAAGCTGCCACCGTCTTACCAAGGGCAGGAGTGTCACAGCAAGGAGCAGCCAATGTGTGTTTCGTTCTGACAAGAAAGTCGTAATCTTCAGTAGTTCTGGCGCAAATCTGTCCGACAGCATCTGCATGAAAGAAATTAAATGTCAGTGGTGCTTCTTGAATCAAAGCTAATAGTTTTTAACAGTAAAAAAACTATGAACTTACCGTAGTAGATGTCCTGATTTTTATACAGTAGGTAAGGCACTGATTTGGAATAGTATGAAAATCCTTGTCATTCTGCTATAACGAAAAACACGAACAATGCATTAATTCAACGGTGTTACAAAACAAAGCTTTTGCATCCATTGGATTGTTCAGAGTGGCACAATGACAGTAGATGGCGCTGCTACCCCACATCTCCAGGCTTTGAACCGTGTCCTTGCTGTGTGTATACAGTTCACATTCCTCCCGTTTTGAAGGATTGCTCCCACAGTACAAAAACATCCATTTAGCATCATTGCCTCCTTTGAATTATGCCCAGAGTATGTATGTAGCTTTGTCCTTTGCTGGCTTGGTTAGGCTCCCTATGCCTTTGTACTGGATAGTTGATAGGCAGTTGCATGGTTTGCATTCAGCTTAACCCATACATTTAACCTTAATAGCTGGGAAATAATCATATTGGTGTGGTTCAGTGGGTTAGGACTCATTATCAGAAGGTCGCTATTTCAGTTCCTAGGGTTGAGTGATGTCACCATTGGGCCTTTCAAAAAGGCCCTTAACCCCAATTTCTCAAAATACTGACTGACACTGCTTTCTCAGTTGTGTGCCACCTTGGATAAAACTGTCTGTTAAATTAATAAATGTAAATATCTGTGCATATGAAATTACAATGTAGTTTGCAAACTAATCCTTGGGTATCACGTCCTATCTCCGGTCTTTCGACAAAGGTTCAAATGGAACTTTGATAGTTTAACAAGCAAGTCTACTATGCACCAAAATTCTGACATTACTGCAACTTAATGAATGCTATTGATACTGGTTGATTTAGAGTAGAGCAGATTGCCCAATTTTAAATTTAGTTAATCTCATTTAGTGAAATCAGCTACTAACTAAAGAAAAGCACCCCTAGCAAACTACTGTATTGAACTGTTGCAACCTCTATCAGCTGTTAATAACAATCCAAACAAGTGCTTTACTCCCGACAATGGTTACAGATTACAATTAATTGTTCTTTACCTCTATCAACAGTTACACTCGTCATCTTAATTGCTGTGAAAAACGGGTAACACCTGTTTCTTACATCAGTTAAGTGTTGAATGCTGTTGATCAGCTGGGCCAGTTTGCTTCCTGTATCCAGGTTCAAACCTTCTTGTTCCATAAATTCGTGAGCTTTCAGTTTTACATTTTGAATCTAAAAAAAAAACCGGTTGAATCAGCACAGTACAGTACACATTGCACTTAATACACAATTAAATAACTGAACAGACATGGACGAAACGTGCTGCACATAAACATGAGATATATACCACGCAGACGTTTAATTACCGTTAACGCACATACCTCTTTCCGTAAGAAGTACAGCGCCTTCAGACACTGACCGACTTCTGCATCCCAATGGCTCTCTTCCTTGTTGTTCAAACAGACAAATGAAACGCTAGTCTTCCATACCTTTTTGAAGAATTCTATGTAGTAGTATTTTTCTTTGCTCGTTTATTTCTAATTATACATTTTATTTTTAAGTGATTATTATTGTGTCCAGGTGTTCTGACGAGTTGAGCTACCTATCGAGACGTGCTACCGAGTCTTTCTACGCATGTGCAGTTCCACCATGTTGGGGTTGGGGTAAGGGTTTTAGGGTTATTTGGGGGTTAGGGTTATCTATTAGCACTACGCTAGCCAAACTCGACAAAGTAGCTGAACTCGTCACAACACTGGCTTTGCCAGATTACAGACTCACCGCGACCTACTCTAGATAAACAATCGAAGGACGGATAGATTAAAATACGTCTTTAAAATGACATGAACAAAGTTAAAAACACTGGTTTAGCATAGCTGGACTTGCCTGATCTCTAAGCTTTCGTTTCATTGTTTTCGAGGTCTCATCATACTGTAACATGTCGGTGGGGTCGATCCATTCATCGTCTTGTCCCAACACGGCCACCAAAATATCGCATCCCAGCAAAACAATGCACGCTTTCCCAAACGTAAATGTCATATTTAGGAAGTAAGTACGCGCTCGCCAGCTTGCTATATTTAATTTTGAAAATGTAAATAACGAGGGACCGCAGAATTAAATGCTGTTACTTTCACCAGCATGGATGTCACGACATTGTAATTAATGTATCGATGCAGCCACTCACAGAAAGTTGTTACATAATACTAATAACACCTGTTTTCATTTCTCGTACTGTATTTACTTTCACTTTCTTGACGAAAGGAAACGCGCAAAGCATGTCGGTACCGCGCTGTTGTCCTTATTTAACATTAATAAACTATATTATCCGTCAGATGTAATCAGTCTACACCATTTTGGAATAAAATTACACTTTTAAAAGAAGAATTAAACGTAATTTCGGTCATTTAAAGACGGCGTATACAAAGACCATAAGATGTTTGAGAGGCCTTTATTGAGATGACAGCAGCAATAACTCTTCTTTAGACATCCAAGGAAGAGACAAAGCTTTAATTAAAAATATTTTATTTGAAATATTCTCACAACATTTAAAGTGACAATTCCAGAAAAAAAGCACAAAGAAATAGTGTTTGAGGTTGAATTAGCTTTGCATCAAATTTACCTTGACAAAGTGCAAAAATTATATATAGGAGAAGAGAACATTTTTTGCGTAATAGGTAATTACTCTTCAGCATTTCTTTCTATTATATTAAACATGTCAAATTGAAATGTCATGCTGTAAAGCCAGTTGGGTATAAATTTCAAAACAGTCACCAAGATTTCTTATCATATTAATACCAAACATAAGTAAATTATTTGTAATGGGAAATGCAAGTACAGCATCAATACTTGCAATCATTTCTAGAATAGGATTTAGATCCTTGTCATTCTGCACAAATAAGACCATAATTTAAAAATCAGATTTTTAAGGGGTCCCATAAGGATTCCTATAGGAAAATGAAATGCATTTCTCATTAATAAAATTCCTTAAAGTTATGCTGAAAAATCCTTAATCTCCAGAATTTACAGTGTCTTAATGGCTGTACGGTAAATTCTGCAGAAACGGGAATACCATAAAATTAAATTAAAAATGTAGGAAACACAGAAGCGCTAGCTTTTTCCATTATCTCACAAAAGAATAGTTACACCACAATTACCACACTCAAACTTGTTACTTTTTGATATTATTGCAATGAGATGCATTCTTATAGACTAATTCAAACATACTGCTCTCTCAAGGCACAATATACATACTATCTTTTTTTACACTATGATTTGAATGGAAAATGTGACCAGGAATACCATTCGCGGCATTCATTTCCTCACTATCAGATGTATAAACGTACCTTCAAAAACAGAGCAGTGGAAAACGGTGAAATCTGAGTGATCCAGCACAATGATGGTTTCCGAGAGACCATGTCATCACATTTTTTTCCTCAGGCTTGCTTGGGGGGGACGGTGACAGTGAAGGTGGCGATTTTGTACGCTGATCTTCATGGGGAGTTCCTCTGCCGCCAGCACTAAGGTCTGTGGGCCCAGAGCGTCACGGTTCTGTCCGCGGACGATGACAGGAAACAGAGGTCCTGCACGTGCCACCGGCACTGGATGACCTTGTCTGCGTGCTCCCCTGCCACCATGACGGGCAGCTGCTTGGTCAAGTCCCCTGAGGAGACACAGCATGTGGCCATTTATAATGAGCAGCTGCTATAGTCACAGCCCCCCCCCCCCCCACCCTCAAGGGGCAGCCATTGAAAAATTACTGCATCCTTCACAATGACTGAGGTGGATGAGTAAGTAATATCAACAATTGTTCATATAACTCGCTGTACGCCCCCCACCTTGCAAGTCGGTGACCTTGACCTTGCCGTCATAGGACCCGGTCAGCAGGTAGGCCGCCCCTGGAGAGAAGCGCACTGAGCGGAGGTCGCTGGCGTGGGGCCGGTAGGTCTGCACAATCCTGCCTCCCCGTATGTCGTACAGCATGCAGCTGGAGTCTTCCTGGCCCGTGGCCAAGAGCCGGGCACTGGGGTCCATGGCCACGGAAGCTACCGCACTACCTGGGGGGGTCAGAGTGGTTTATTTTGGCATGGGGGTGGAGACAGGACTAACAAGACAGGGAGAAGCAAAAACCGAAAACAGCTGTTTTGGGGTGAAGACAAGGGAAACACGCAGGAAAACTAAACGGCCGTGTGGCTGTGGGAGGGGCTACGATGGAATGGGGGCTTGGGTGAACATTACTCACGTCACACCTTGTAAGCATTTTCAGTACAATGTACAAGCATGAAGGAGCTATTGGCAGCTCAATGAAGAAACAACAGTGCCATCTAGTGGACAGTCTGAACTAAAACAGGGTGGCATTTTTTGCTAGTAAGATCAACCAATCTGGAAACACCGTGGAGACGTACCTGTGCCGTGCAGCGTCGTCGCCACCACCCTGACACAGGTAGGGATCCGCAAATCCCAGAATCGCACGGTTTTGTCCTGGGATCCCGACGCGATCATCCACCCTCCCCAGGTGTAGAGGGACAGGATGTGGCCTGGAAGCAAAAACGAGTAGAACGGCATGGAAGTTTCAGGAACGATCTGCTTCACTCTTCAACCCCAGTCCCCGCTGATGGGTGGGATGCTGCCCCTCGTACCCGTGTGCCCGCTGAGTGCGTGCAGCCCCTGGCCCCGATGGCAGTCGGTGGTGTAGATGTTACAGTCTCCGGCCCCGGCGCTGATCAGGATGGCACCCCCGCTCTCCGGCCCCTCCATGAAGGCCAGGTCTCGGACAGTCCCATTGTGCATGCTGAACTCCAGGTCTGGACCTACAAACATACACAATTCATATATTCCTATCATTGTGGGGACTCTCCATTCATTTTTGTGGGCATAACCCAAATCCTAACTACCATAACCTTGTGCCTTACCCAGTCCTAACCTTAACCATAAGTAACCAAAGTACAAGCCTTTTGGCTATTTCAGTTTTTTGATTGCGTTCACCAAGCTGCCGTTTTATAAATCAGTCACTTGCTACATCGAGCAAGTTTCGGTAAGACTTACTGACAAGATGTTTAAATTTTTTCTTAAAAATGGTTCTCACAAAAACAGGTAAACTCACAAACACACACGGTAATCTTGCTTCAACAATAAATGTCCAGCAGGCTTGTTTTCCTTTAACCATTTCAACCCAATCCGTTTTTGAGCGTTTTTCTATCCCTTTGATTTTAGGCTTATTACACTGTATGTTCATGAGTTACCCACATATGCTGTATGTTTATGTTTCAGGACATCCTGGGCTACTCAGGTCTGTCATAATTTGATGTGTAAATACTGACACAGTCTTCATATCCTTTTTATGAGGAAAAACTACTGGCGCCTATTTAAATTTCTCAATGTTTAGTCACATCTAATATAAACATTTGCAGGCACTACAAATATAATCAAATATAATTATAAATGTTGAGATTAGAGTCTCTATGATGTGGGAATGCAGGGGTTTCATATATTTAAACATACATAAGACAGTTTTATAATCTACTGCTGAAAGTTTATCGTTATCGTTTTTCCGCCCATATATACTATGATTGGTAAAGTGAAATTTAAGAATTAAACTGAGTCAGCATTTTAGCCTCAAACAACTAACGCACGTCATTGTGTTTACATATGGAAGGTATTCCAATTACACAATGGATGCCTTCTGATTCAGCTGGTTTGACAGAGCTTGACATCAAACATACATACAAACATTTGTGAATAAATATTACGAAAATATCAAGTAACTGTCGTCCTAATAAATAGAATGCTGTGTTTTGTTGTTATTTGTAGTATAACTCCAGACAATTTGAGTGTTTCTCTATCCCTTTATTTATATGCTTATAATAAATTAAGCATAAAGTATCATTAATCATCTAATGTGAATAATATGGTTATTTTATGGACTATTAGGGGTGCGTTTTGGTGAAAAATGTTTAAAATATGCGCCTCATTGAACACAGGATTACTCTGGGATACTTTAGTGCACAATGCTGCAACTTGGACGACCGGATCGATTCCAATGATATGTGATTCTTATATGTGTGCTACACATATCCAAAGTTATGAGCCTGAGATTATTGGGTGTGAAAATCAACACATTTTGCATGTGTCAGCTTCTCAGGGTTAAATCTCTGTCTTTTAGGTGGAAGACAAAGACATCCTAATTAAAGCACCATCCTTGGAGAACCCGGTGACCTGCTGTGGAGCTCGGGGCCCGGAGTTGGGGGCCCGGCAGGACGTCTCACCTGAGGCATTATGGGTCTCCACACTGAAGGGCAGCACCTTGACGTACTTGTCGTTGGAGCCGGTGGCCAGCAGCTGGCCGCAGTGGCTCCAGGCCACGCAGTAGATGGAGCCCTTGTGGTGCTTGTTCCTCTTGAATTGGACGACGGGCTGCTTGGGGACGTCTGAGCCACTAAGGAGGAAGGTCATCATCTCAACCTTAACATAGTACCTTATCACAGGCTCCATGTGACAGACTAAAATGCTGCAAATTAAAATTCTAAGAAGGCACTGGTCTTCTGCCTTTTCTGCATTACAGACGCTCCTCTACTTACGAATGAATTACGTTCCAAATGGCCGTTCGTAACTTGAAATGTTCGTAAGTCGTTATTCAACATCATTTTAAGGGTATGTGCAAGTACAAATAACTAGGGTGCTGGGAGTTCGCACGCTACGCTGCTGTGTGGCGAGAGTAGAAGGCAGAAGTCATACGAGGCGGAACTGGGGCGCAGAAAACAAAACAGGAAACGGGAGGCCAATGAACACAATTTGGACTTACAGTCCTCTTCGTTCGTATGTCTGAAAGTTCATAAGTCGAAAGTTCGTAAGTAGAGGAGCGTCTGTATATTCAATATCCAGCATGGGTAACAGAAGTCCAGCATAAGTATCCTCTAAACCAGTACATCCCAACCTGGTGTTCTGGGACCCCCAGATGGTCCACATTTAAGAACATAAGAACATAAGAACTATACAAACGAGAGGAGGCCATTCGGCCCATCGAGCTCGCTTGGGGAGAACTTAACTAATAGCTCAGAGTTGTTAAAATCTTGTCTAGCTCTGATTTAAAGGAACCCAAGGATTCAGCTTGCACTACGTTATCAGGAAGACTATTCCATACTCTGACTACACGCTGTGTAAAGAAGTGCTTCCTTAAATCCAGTTTGAAATGTTCTGCTTCCACTCAGCCCCCTACTAGACAATCTACACTTTTGACCCCCCCACCCCGCTCATTCAGGGGTGGGGAACCATCTTCCATGGGAGCTCAGAGTTTCTGCTGGTTTTTGGGCTGTTAACTTGTATGGAGTGTAGGGGCCAAGGGAACCAACAGGTATAAGAACTTATAAAAGAACTGATGTTGGAAACCAGGACAGTCTGCAAGCTGGTACAGTATGATATAGTAATGCTTACCACTGCTGAACAGATGCTATAGTGCCAAATATTACATGAGAGCACCTCCAGTCACCCTGTAGACGGGCAACATGCAGGGATCACCTACCGGGTATCAGGGCCATTCGGGTAGGCACAGACCCGGAGAGTTTTGGAGTTTGAGCCGACGGCATACAGCTCGCCCGAAGGGTGGAAGGCCACCGCACGGACGGCCTGCGTGTCTTCCAGGACGCTGACGGCCACAAAGAGAGCCTTGGGCTCCTCCTCCTGGAACACAGTCAGTACAGCGATTGCCCATAGTCACCCACCTAAACAATGACTTTCTTAAAGAGACATCTGTCAAACAACATTTTTAAGGAAAATGCTTCTAATGTATGACTAATTTGTTCAGTACCCTATTATATTGTAACTAGAGAAACCTAAAGGAATCATTTTTGTTGAGTTTGAACAGAATCCACCAATCATGTGCTTAGGAGGCCGCAGGGTCTTTGGTTTTTCATTGTGTCCCAGCAGTAAATCGATGCGTTAAGCCATTGTTTGAACAGAAAGTATCATCTTGACTGTCAGCTACTAAACTTCAAAGCTGCTTAAGGGCTAAATATCTCCATTTTATCTTGCCTTTTCCGATTCAAGTGACCGTAACTGATCAATTAGCACCTTAGCAAGACCTGAATGACATCTACTTTTATACGACCTGCTTCCATGACGGAGAAGAAAGACCTACCTCCATGAGCCTGCTGCAGGTCAGGGAGCAGTCAGACTCCTCCGCAGCACCAGCCTGGGCAATCCTGCCCTTCTGCATACTGGGGTTAGACAGCCATGCCACAGTCATCCACACAAGTCATCTCCCTTGGACATCAGTCAGGTGTGAGCTTAGTGGCGTTGCTGTGGGAGCTGCCTGCTTGAGAAGGCCCACTCACCTCCGGGGGATGAGAATTGGGGATTCCGTCAGCAGGGGCATGACACAGGCTCTGTCCGTTTGGGGCGTGCTGCTGACCATATTAGGGCCACCCCGCAGCATTTGTCCCTCAAGAGTCTGATTGGTGGGTTGGTTGTTGTGGGCGGGGCCTGTGCTCCTCGGCCTCCCGTTGCACTGCTGGCTCAGGGACTGCACGTCACCTCCTAGGTGGTCCATTCCCACATTCAGTTCTTCCAGCTTCTGAATGGACCTGCATGGACAAACACATGCATACAGTTAATCTGACCACAAAGCAGATTCTGACAAACATGCTGTTTCCCCTGCTACCTCAATACAAGTGTAATCCAAAGGATGAGAAACAGCCTTGCAGTTCATAAGCTTTGAAAATATTCATTAATTGATAACACACTTCTACATTAAACTGAGCTCTTAATAGACTTCTCCCCCAGAGATGTGTAGAACATTGGCCTGTATAGGCCACAATGTTTTAATGTCTCTTCTATATATTATAATAACATACAAATCAGGCTCTTTCCTAAGGCAGAGGAAAGCTGACTTATGTTTGACAGAATTTTGTAAAATAACACATTTGTGGTTAATGGGACCGTAACAAATGAAAATAAAAGACATCAGGATAATTCATTCAATAGCTAGCAGAATACGGATCTTATGACAACATACTGCTGTCGTGGCATTGCCCTAATGCCATATTTATATCATCCTAAAGGACATACAGGTAAGTACAGAGAATGTGTGCATTTAAAAAACAGACATAAGACTGCTAAGTAGGGTTGCAAAGGGGCAGAAAATTTCCAGAAACTTTCCATTCCATGGGAAGTTAAGCTGGGGAATTTTGGAAATATTCCAAGTTGGAAACTTTCCATGGGAATTAACAGGAATATGTAGGAATTAACGGAAAAATTCCCAGGATTTTGCAACACTATTGCTTAATGATCAGAAAACTCATTAATATTAACATTAAAATCCCTGTGGAACATCTCCTGGTTTGGAATATACCTCTAGAATAATTTGCAAAGCCAAGGAAACAGGTCTACTGAAGGCTGTCCAAGAAAAAGCAGACGTGCTCTGGAAGGCTGACCTGTTGAGGAACTTCTCAGTGAGGTTCTGCTGCGCCTTGGGCCCCTCCTCTTGGTGTACCCCCCCCTCCTGTAGCATCTGCCGGTAGAGCTGTCTCTGCTGCTCCTTCTGTTGCAAGTGCTGTTGCACGCGCATGCGCTGCCTGCAGTACTCCTGGAACTGGTATAATGCAGTGAGGGGGTATAATGCAGTGAGGCACGGGACGGGGGCGCAGTGCGAGTGCCACAGTGCCAAAACGGCAGTGAGTCACGGCACTGCTCCCCCCTCTGCAAATCTGCAGTTCCCATCCTACTGGGCTCCTGGGTCACTCTTCACAGTTGCCTTTACAAATTAACCCCAGTCTGGCTGCTCAGATCCATTTAAAATGTACTGCTGAATTAAAAACATTTCTTACCCAGAAAAATCCAGCCTAACACGTATTAATCATTAGAATCTGTGATAACGAGCCTGCCAATTCTGCCTTGGAACCAGCATTCAACGAATGCTGAGATGCCATCTCTGGCTTGGTAACTGCAGGAATCGATAATTATACCCCCTTGGAAGGGTCACATCGGCCAATCGTATGCAGCAAATGCAGTAAAATCCTAACGGTATGATCTCTCCCTTCCCTCTGCAATGCTGACCAGACAAGATCCTTACTGGGATTTATGACCTGATAAATTTAGAATGGTGACAAAAGAGGACAATGCCTTATGTGGAACCGAGCACCTACAGACTGCAGTAAAAGGACTACAAAAAAACATCAACTTGGTCTAGACAATTTTCTGGGGGGAGGGTGGTTACCTCATTGTTCTCAGAGGACAAAGCCTCGCCACCGGGAGCTGAAGAGGATCGTGGGAAATGGGGTGACCCAGAACCTGCCCTACTATCCACTGGAACGTCCAGCCTGCAGCATTAAGGAGGGAAATCCAAATCACAAACTACACAGACCCAATTAAATATCTTACATTCACCTCATACTTAACACTTTTCAGCTTTGCTAGACAGTATTCAGAATCATGAAATGGGCCAGAGTCTCATTCAGGGATTATACTACGCATGTTAATAGTGGGTTATGTAGTGAAACAACCTTCGGTCCTGTACACCTGGGAAACTATTCAACCTGAAACACAAAACTGTACTTGGTGCCTGATAACAATGGGTTAGAGACCAGTGCACCCAATAGAATACCCACATATACTATATGCTGTACATGCAATACATGCAGGCACATCACATTCATGATGCTGCTCAAATATAAAAAATATTCAGCTCTCATAACAGCCCACCATCTGTCAAACGATAATGAACCAAATGTCTAAACACGGCAGCTGATCACAAAAATGCACGACGGATGTTTGAGATTCAGAGCCAGATCTGGAAGATGCAAGTAATTCCAATACTGAGACGATGCTATGAACAGGAGGCACTGGAATGCGGGTCCGACCTCTCAGGAGAGTCCCTGGCTTGGAAACCCGAGTTCTCCATCAGGTTCCGGGTCAGGTTTGCTCCACCAGAGTACTGGAAGTTGGCAAAGGAGTGTGACAAGGGTGAGATCTTGTTTTTGACATCGGCCACTCGCTTCTCCTTGCCGGACAGACCGCTGGTGAGGCCATCCAGGGCGGAATTGAGGGACCGGGACATGTAGGTGTCGGCGGACTGGGGCCGGCGCACGGGGGATACGGGGCAGGGGGACAGCTTGCTGATGAGGGGGGTGAGGAGGTCTGCTTGGGCCGCCTTGGTCGGCCTCATCAGCTTGTCCACCTGGATGCTGAGCATCTTCTGCTGAAAGGCGCAGGAGAAGACGTCCGGAGACAGACTCTGCAGCCAGGAGAGGAGGCTGAGGTCCAGGTCCTCGCAGCCGTTGCCGCAGAGTACGTCGAGGCCCAGCAGCACCTCGCTCTCCGTGATCTCCGTGATCTCCTCGCCCGTGGCCCGGCTCTGGCAGAACTCCACGCAGCACTCGTACAGCACGCCCTTGATGAGCAGCTGGAAGAGGCGGTCGCCGCTGGCCCGGAAGCCCGCCTCGCTCAGCTTGCGGTTGGCCGGGATGAACTCGGCCGTCATGGCGCAGGCCTCCTCGAAGCAGCGCACGCGGGCCGTGCTGGGGCTCCAGTCCCGGTACTCGGCATGGTGCGTCAGGCGCGGCAGCGTCAGCAGCAGACACAGCTTACGGTAGTCATCCTTGGATGGGCAGCACTCTTCTAGGGAGTGGAGGCACTGGACTGCCTCCCTCATGGTCAACTCCAGCTGCAGGAGCACCGAGAACAGGTCAGTATTAGTCAGTCAGCCTCTCTCTCTCACCCACACACACAAACGTTTGTATTCACGGTATTGTGGGGACTCGCCATTCATTTCTATGGGCATAACCCTAATCCCAACAATGACGACCTTAACCCCTCCCCAGCCCTGATCTGAACCATAAGTAACCAAACAACATATAAGGCTTTTGGCATTTTTAGTTTTTTGATTGCAGTCATGGATTTTTCTAAAACTGAGTTTGCACTTGTGGGGACCGGAAAAATGGTCGCCACAACATCAAAAAAAACAGGATTTTATCACATTGTGGGGACATTTGACACCCCCAGTTTATTATATGCATAACTCTCACACACACGGGGAAATTTAGACCGTGGAAAACAGCAGAATATGAGCAATACAAGTCCCATAAACACGGAACTGGGGCAGAAGTTCAACCCAAAACCCACAAAGGCCACTATCCTCTCATCACCACGGCGACACAAGAACCCCCCTTCTGGAGACTTTGAGAATAAAAAACAAACGTCTTTGTGATACAAAAATTTTCTGGGTTTTGAATGTTTGTGCTGTTCACTCCTGGGCAAAGGGCCAAACCCAAAACTGCAAATGATTAAGCTTTTAATGGACTCAACAGCAAATAGCCAGAAGATATTTTAGAATACTTTGAACACCCAGACATGTGTTAGTTCAAATTTTATATGAAACATATAAATCTTCCCGCAATTTTACCTTTGCATACAGGAAGACCATGTCAGTGAATTTCCCCGTTTCCAGCACTTTCCCACAGGCCTCTGGAGGGCACTTTTTCAGTTGTTGCTCATTATCTGACCAATGATTTGTTGGTAAGACCATTAAAAGCTTAATATTATGCAATTTTGGGTTTGGCTCATTTTTTTGCCCAAAGAATCAACTTGCCTTTAAAAAGTCCTTCACTGACACTGAAAAAAGAAATTCCCAGGTCAGGGCACCTCATTGTAAAGAGCCACCAAAGTCAGTGTGGTACCGGCGGCAGGCGACAGGCTCCTCAGACGCTCTCCCTCTTACACGCTGGGGCTCCTCAGACATGCTCCCACTTACACGCTGGGGCTCCTCAGACGCTCTCCCACTTACACGCTGGGGCTCCTCAGACGCGCTCCCTCTTACACGCTGGGGCTCCTCAGACGCTCTCCCACTTACACGCTGGGGCTCCTCAGACGCGCTCCCTCTTACACGCTGGGGCTCCTCAGACGCGCTCCCACTTACACGCTGGGGCTCCTCAGACGCGCTCCCACTTACACGCTGGGGCTCCTCAGACGCGCTCCCACTTACACGCTGGGGCTCCTCAGACGCTCTCCCACTTACATGCTGGGGTTCCTCCTCGGCGGACATGGCGTTGTTCACACAGAGAGCCTCCAGAAACTTCTGCCTCAGGATAATGTAGCGGAATCTGGGGACGTGCAGCAAGGACGTGGGTTTGGTTTCAGCACTGGTGGGGGCCAAATCAGCCCCAAATCCCCAGCCCCCCTAAACACTCCCAGACCTCCCACAATACTCATAGGGACATGTCCAGCCCATCCACCTGCACATCTACGCCCTGGACATTCAGAGAAAGCAGTGAACGACAAAGAAAATCCAAACAAAATGAAACCAAAAACAGCTCGTTGTGAAGCACATGGAGAGGAATATCTAGAGACGAAACTGATGCAATAATTATAGTCTGTCTCGTTTAATCAGGGTCACAGAGATGCTGAATTTACCCAGCTAAGCATGGGGCACTGGGCGGGGTGTGGTCTGAATGGGTCACCAGTCCAGTGCACTGGGCAGGGTATGGTCTGAATGGGTCACCAGTCCAGTGCACTGGGCGGGGTGTGGTCTGAATGGGTCACCAGTCCAGTGCACTGGGCGGGGTGTGGTCTGAATGGGTCACCAGTCCAGTGCACTGGGCGGGGTGTGGTCTGAATGGGTCACCAGTCCAGTGCAAACTGCCCTGGGGATAAAATGTATAACATTTTTTGTATTTACCTTTATTCTGACCCATTCAAACAAATGGCGTTGGCGCAGTGTGGACAAAAAAAAAAATACTAAACTGGTTGATTTAAATAATAATAATAGATACTTTATTGATCCTCTTGGGGAAATTGTCTTTACACCTCCCACAGCTTGCTCTTTTTCATAGAGTAAGCCGTCTGTGAAGGGCAGCCACCCGTAGCAGCACCCAGGGAGCTGGGGGTTAAGGGCCTTGCTCAAGGACGGCAGACGTGCTGACGGTTGGGTTTGAACCGGCGACCTTCTGATTAGAGGCACACAGGCCTAGCCCACTGAGCCACACGCTGCCCATTTAATTGAATTTATTACTGATTCACAGAAAAGTCTAGAATATAGTCAGTTTTAGGTCTGTAAAAATTTCCTTTAGGCTTTTCAATGGTACCTTTGTACCTAACATATTCATAATTATTATAAATTCAATAACTTATAATAATATCAATATACTACTACATATACATTCAAAGTATCAAAGACATACAATCAAATACATTGTAAGTTCTGAAAAGGTAAATGAAATTGAATTTATTGATATTTTAAGATATAGGTATCCGTCGACTTGCGTCTATTTCTGACCTATATCACAGACTGAAAGTGAATTTGGGCGTTTCTTGATAGTTACAGGGAAGAGGGAAAACAAGCACAGTACTGTAATATATCCAGTACTATATGGCAAATAATAATGAAAATATTTTTTTAAATCACCACTTTACAATAAAGAGATTGCACTTAAATTTAATGAAAAATTAAGCAAGAATTGCACTATGAAATCAAAAGATGCACACAGTACAAACATTGGCAGCTGAGGAAAGATAACGGCACCTGAAGCTGCAGTGAAATTATATTTTATTGGACAGTGCAGTCATTTTCTTTCCATGTAACAAACTGGCACAGTACAGGTACTGTATCTGCATCATATCTGCTTATGGTAGCTGTCCATCACATAGACATTACTGCATGCAAACTGTATTACAATTAATTATGGGTAGTCGGTCAATATACGGCCGGCAGTGCTGCCCATGTTCCTGCACCTGGTACACTAAACGATACAGTGGAGATCGAAAGTTTGGGCACCCCAAGTAAAAATGTGTATTAATGTGCATAAAGAAGCCAAGAAAAGATGGAAACATCCTCAAAAGCCATCAAAATGCAGATGAGACATTCTTATAATATGTCAAAAAAAGTTGGATTTTATTTTCATCATTTACACTTTCAAAATAACAGAAAACCAAATAATGGTGTCTGCAAAAGTTTGGGCTCCCTGCACAGTTAATACCTTGTACTGCCCCCTTTGGAAAGTATTACAGCTTGTAAACGCTTTTTGTAGCCAGCCAAGACTTTCAATTCTTGTTTGAGGTATCTTCACCCATTCTTCCTTACAAAAGTCTTTCAGTTGTTTGAGATTTCTGGGCTGCCTGTTACGCACTGCTCTTTTAAGGTCTATCCATAGATTTTCAATTATGTTAAGGTCAGGAGATTGTGAAAGCCATGGCAAAACTTTCAGTTTACGCCTCTTCATGTAATCCACCGTTGATTTTGATTTGTGTTTCGGATCATTATCCATTTGTAGAAGCCATCCTCTCTTTAACTTCAGCTTTTTCACAGATGGCATCAAGTTGGCATCCAAAATTTGCTGAAATTTTATTGAATCCATTTTTCCTTCTACTCGTGAAATGTTCCTTGTGCTACTGGCTGCAATACAACCTCAAAGCATGATTGATCCACCCCCATGCTTAACAGTTGGACAGAGGTGCTTTTCATTAAACTCTGTGCCCTTTTTTCTCCAAATATACCTTTGCTCATTCCGGTGAAAAAGTTCAATTTTAACCTCATCGGTCCACAGAACTTGTTTCCAAAATGCGTCGGGCTTGTCTATATGTTGTTTTGTGAACTTCAAACGCTGATTTTTGTGGTGTGGACGTAGAAGAGGTTTTCTTCGGATGACTCTTCCATGAAGACCATATTTGTACAAGTATCTCTTTATAGTGGAGTGGTGTACCACAACTCCAGTGTCTGCCAGATCTTTCTGGAGGGATCGTGCAGTCAGATGTGGTTCTTGATTTGCTTTTTTCACAATCCTGCGAGCTGTTCTGTCTGATATTTTTCTTGGTCTTCCAGTTCTTGCTTTAACTTCCACTGTTCCTGATGACTGCCATTTCTTAATTACATTCCGAACAGAGGATATTGACATTTGAAAACGCTTTGCTATCTTCTTATAGCCTTCTCCTGCTTTGTGAGCGTCAACTATTTTCAGTTTCAGTGTTCTAGACAACTGCTTTGAAGAACCCATGGTGCTGATTGTTGGAGCAAGGCCAAATGAGTCTGGGCATTTAAAACCTTTGAGATTGACAACGCCTGGTCTTTCCACACAATGATTGTGAACAGTCCCTGACACTGTCAGGTCTCAGCTTGCCAAAGGGGGCAGTACAAGGGATTAACTGTGCAGGGTGCCCAAACTTTTGCAGACACCATTATTTGGTTTTCTGTTATTTTGAAAGTGTAAATGATGAAAATGAAATCCTACTTTTTTGACATATTATAAGAATGTCTCATCTGCATTTTGATGGCTTTTGGGGATGTTTCCATCTTTCCTTGGCTTCTTTATGCACATTAATACACATTTTTACTTGGGGTGCCCAAACTTTCTATCTCCACTGTACACCCGCTAACATACTACTGTGCTGGATTCTGGCATCTATCTATCAGTGTATATTATTTACTATGGACCTTGGACATAAATGCAGTTGGATATTACTTGACATGAAGCTGGTCAATGGATACTTGTACATCGATTTAACGATGCACCTTTCTGGGCAAAAAAATTGTATTGAAGGACAGATCAAGCTAACTTTACTTAGAGTGCTACAATTATGATACTGGTTATTCTTACCATATCTGTTGAGAACCTACATTTATTCTATGTACAATGTTACTTTAAGGTTTTGATTGTAGAATACACCACAATAACTGCTACATTATAGCATTATACCAAATGCTAGGCTATAAAATCTCTGTTACCTCTTTCGGTCAAACTTTTCCATGCATTCCAAAGGCTGGATGAACTGAAGGACCTCGTCCCATTGGCCGTCCAGCACCAGCTGCCTAAACCAAGCGATTGACAAATTCACAAAGGATGTGAAGGCTAGCAAAGGATGGAGACCACATCAGCCACCGGGAGCCCTAATAGCTCTGCCCCATTAGCCTGGCAGTCTGAATGGAGGTCTCAGAATTGACTTGAGTGAGTTACAATGAGTTACAATGAGTTAATTGTAACAATGGGATTTTATAATCAGAGGACAACAAATGATATGACTATAGGCTTGAACAATAATACAAGTCTTTCCTTGAACCTTTGGAGTACAGGTCTTTCCCCATAACCACTGTTACTAGTTACTCCATTTTTGAGTAGTTTAATAATTGATTTGATATGCCAGACCCACCACTGTCAAGATCTTCAGAAGGCAAATAAGTGAGAAGTCTAATATAGAACGCATTATAACACTAATACAGTATGGCAGACACAGGAAGCTGACATGCTAGATGTACTCTGAGTAACCTTCACTCAGCAGTGCAGCGAGTCTCACCTGAGGAAGAGCATGTCGTCCGAATAGAGGCCGTTGATGACGCCGCTCTCCCTCTCCAGAGCTAGCATGCTGATGTGCAGTTTGCGAGAGTTGAGGAAGTCTAGGATCAATTTTATGATCTCTGTCTCCCTGATGTTAATGACCTCCTCTACAGTCATGTTGTCCTACTTTAAGGAGAAGAAAAAAAAAGTGAATCAGGAAATAGGTTTAAATGAACCTCTAGGTCCTTCAACCACGGTGGAAATGCCAGTATGGCTGAAGATGTAAAAGAGACTGATGAAATAGTATAATATGGAGTAAACATTGATAAACGCCTATTTATCTATATTTCAGACTAAAGTTCATGCCTATTGGAATGCTACCAATTGGACAATCTCTGAATAGTACATTTTGCATATCGCCCTTTCCGAAGCAGTGGCCACAGACCCCTTAACAATGAGAATGAGTGATACGCCTCATAATAATAACGAGAGGAAGGTGGCGCTCCATTGCAGGTATGTTACAATATATTACTACGCTTCGACGATTTAACGCTTTATGATGTAGTGACAATTTAAGGTGGTCCACACCCCGGAATACCTAGTTCCACATATTTTAAAACAAAAAAGTTATACCAATTGCGTAATTATGTAGTCTGTCTTTTTAGTATAGACATTAGGTTTTAATTATTTTAACTCCCTACCCAGTGTCCCTACTAATAAAAAATATTAGAAACGATTACATGAATTACATAAAAAAAACTGAGAAGAGGAATGAGATCAGGTAGCGAACAAATGCTGTGCAATGAAACTGGACTAAATAGCAGCTCTGCTCAATGGGTCACTTAAACCTTATTTATACGACTAAGCACCTAAACAGCTTCACAAACGCCTCACTGCGACACGTCGTCAATTTAAACAGTACAAATAACGATAAATACCAGCAATCGTCGATTTCACTCATCCAGTCCCCCCACAAAACACATCAGTGGCGCAGCGTCGGTGCTCATAACATTCATGAAATCACCGCAGTTAAATGTATGAAACTGAATATACGCCATCATCGACAGAAACGCAGCGGATCAAACGCGCCCACGAAGGTATCGGAAAAGCGAGCGGTGTAACATTGCGGTTCCGTTTCCAGAGCAGGGTTACAATCTCACCTGGCCGCCGCTACAGACACATGAAACGGGGGCAGAGATCGCGATTCTCCGGTACAAATATCGTTAGCGCCCCTTTTTAATCCGGGACTGCTGGAGTTCAGCTACAAACCCCCCGTTCTCAGTTTCTCTATCCCCAGCATTTCTCCGCCCATCGTTTTTTGGTAACGAACCTCCTAGTTGCCAAGAAGATCGCAGCATCTACCTTCCGCACCCATGCGATCGCCGGCAAACCCTCCGAAGCGCCTACGGTCAAAAAGCGCTCAGAAGCGGCGCAGCGGGGACCTTCCCTCCTACCCCGGACCTCGGCGTAGGAAAAGACACTGCACCCATTTACCTGCTTTGCTGCTGGTTATAGGTCCTTGAAATACCTTTAAGTAAAATAAAGGTTGGGTTGTGCGCACACAGACCCACAAACCTCCGAGAATCGTCTCAGGTGAGGATTTGTAGGTACATGCGGTCTGAACCTCGTCACGGAAACATAATCAATCCTGCGCCGAATTAACAGGTAGGTCTAAGATGATGTTTGTTATTGCGTGTTTTTAGTAATTTCACGACTTTATTAACAGACACCTATAGACCAGAAAAGTAATGTCCAATAGCTGCAAACGTACGATAAACCCCCGCAGGACGTACAAAACGGAGACATCAACAAATGCAGCGTCAATGGGGGGTCGGGACAGAAACACGTTATTCTTTAATAGGAAATATATGATCAAGCCGGAACCAGCGAGTGTCAGAAATAGTCTGTTTTTGTCATATTACGTAGAAACGCTATAATCATGTTCAAAGTAAATTTCTGAATACAAATTATTTGAAATATCTCTCTAATACACCATAATTACCATTATTTTGTAATGTTTTGATGCAATATGCAATGGAAAAACACAACCAAGATGTTCAAGTCAATCCATATCGAGTGAGTTTTTAGTTACAGCCCCTGTCAGTGAATTTTCCCCTTTGTTTCATATGGCGAGGAGGTCGCCAATGTAGGCTTAGCGTGTGCAGATGATCTAACCGGAGTAGTTAAATGTATGGTGCATCTCCGCCGCCAAACCCCATCTGTCTCTGCTTGTTCTGTGGACCGCAAGCTGGGCCTAGTCAATTAGCACCTTTTCCATGTCCTCTATCTCAGCTTTGGTGGCCTTAACCTTTCTAAAATGCAAAAAAGAGAAACTTTTGCTGTGCCATTTATGTCCCATTTCCACAGAATTATTCACATATTAATACAAGTATCATTAAACTGCACACAATGGTGAATGGAGGTAAAATATATATTTTTTTAAATCGGGATTGATTAATACAGATTAATCGGCAACCATCTTTACACTTATCCTGGTGACATTAAGATTCCGGAAATTGGTAAGTTTTGCAGTCCAACAAGAAGTGGTGGGGTCTTAATGTTTTTTTGCACTGGGAATTGGCGCTTCCCCCTTAAGCAGACATACAGTATATGGCATGGTAATCAACCCCCCAATAAAAAGTAGCAAGAAGTTAGAAAATACGGGTTAATTTCAAAACCTTTTGTCTCATTGTCTTTTTACATAGATTGTTCAAACGCCAAGCTTGCATATCCCCAATAATAAATTCACATACAATTATCTTGAATATTAGGTCATGTTTTGATAAGAACCACTAGTTAACTTATAATTATAAGTGATCTAACAAAGGATGTTCCAAGGGATGCTTTACTTTAAGTAACATTTCAGTAAAACATCCCCGATGCATACTTTTAAAACAAACTCTAATTGTCTCTAGACAAATTTGTTTTATTCGAAAATCATTTTCAAATATAGTGTCCAGAGACAGTTTAGTTTGTTTAAACTGAAAATGCTGAAGTGAGAAAAAAAACACTTGAGGCCATGCTTACTTTATTTAATGCAAAGAAAAAAAAAATACCAGCAATATGTTGACACTTTGACAGCACAGCGTCTAAAAAGAAAAAGGTGAAGCGATGCTTCATAATGACGGACATGAGCTCACAGATCACCTTAAAAATCCCCAATCGTTCTCATTTACAATAGTCGTCATTCTCGGCTTTAAACAGCCGAATAAATCCAAATATACCAACCATGTACCACAGAGGCTGCAATTATACATACTGCCTGGATTAGAAGCACTCGCGATTAGCGTGTACGACACTTCTATAAATGTATCTTCCAGCTGAAGCACCAGACCGTTTGTGGGGGTATTTAGGGTTACAGGAAATACAGCAGGTCAGCTTTAGGAACCGTTCTGGTCCAGTCCCGCATCACTATACCAGAATGTCCTGCAATTAATGTTGGCACCTTTTGCCACTAGACGATGGAATGTAAACTTCTTTTTTACTGGATAAATATTATTTGTAAAAGTTTGTAAAATTCAAATCACTTTAGCTGATAAAAGATGGGAAAAGCTGATATTTCTGGCAACAATCTTAAATAAAGTGTAAAATTCTTTATATAATTAAAAAATCAATTCTTTGTGCAATAGGTAAATCTACAAAAACAATACATTCTTTTAGCTGATAAATGGAAATTTAACTGGTATGAAGGTCAGTATATATAAAAATTTTATCAAAGCATCTCACTCATGTAAAGTTAATGATGGAAATTTCGCCAGTGTTAGTTGAACACTTTCAATTTAATTTTTAAGGTTATGTCTTCATGCAAAGGGTAGAGGGATCAGTATTATAGAGAATCTGTCCTATACATCTGTAACACAACAAGTGTTGATCGTGGGGAAAGTGGGAAAAGTAGCAAAAGCTGACGACAGCCCCTTTAATTAAAATTACATTAAAGCTATTCATCCTGAAATAAGACAAGATGAAAACAGTGGTCTCTGATAGATGCCGAACAAATATACAAGAAAATTACTGACTGCCTTGACATATTTACAATAACAGGAATAAAACACAATTCAACTATACATACACATGAGAAGCAATCAAACATATAAAACAGCGTAAACAGAACATCTTAGGTGGTGAATGTTATGGGCAAAACAGGAATCTGCAAACTGTACTTCTGCTTTGCATACCATGTGTGTCATTTCCCTTCTGTAAACAACTCCACATGAACATGTTTCCTGGAAGACCATGTAATTCAAAAAGGAAATAAGTCTGGAAATACCAAAAATGTACATTCCAAAACCTTTACGAAATTAAAATATTTTTAAGCTGAAAATGAATACAACTTTTTATTTGATAAATAAGAAATATTTTAGATAAATACAACCCTGAAGAAATAATGATTAGATATATTCTTACGAATCACGGTGCTTGATATGAATTGAAATTGTCTGCAAGGATTCTAATCCAGTTTCCCCAAACTAATTAGGAAGTATGAAGTTTTTCTGTGTGGAGTTGGTGACAGCATATTATTTTGGGATGGTAAACAACACCTGTAAAGGGTTCATCTAGACATAGCTGGGAATTGATGATAACCTAATGCACATAACAGATTCCTGTGCCACTCTAGGTAAGAGACATTACACTGTAGCATTATTCATGTGAATGACTAAATATTTTAGCCTGTGAAGTCGATTCAGACAGAATCAAAAGTGTTATGTACCAGTCAGCCTCTGCACAAACGGATGGCTGCTGCGTATCCCTGTCAGTAAAACATGACTTAGAAGCCTTAAACGCAGATAAATAAAATACGAAGTCCATATTTCTACCCTTTTCCAGCAAGCTAGAAAACACGGCATCTGTGATTTATTTTGGCCCCCAATCTCCAGACCATCTGAAAAAATATAAATAATTACAAAAAAAGAGAAACTTGACCTGTATTGGAAGTCATCTTATGGAATAACTTAACGCCTTGTCAAGGCAACATTCAAACGCAAACAAGCACAAGGCCACAGATGCCAAAAAAGATCAGTAAGCTTACTCCATACAGACGAAAAGCGTTCAGTGCTCAGTGTACCAAACAAAAATCACCACTATACCCAAATGCTGGGTTTTGGCACTTACGAAAAAAACCTCCAACACACATGTACTATAATACAATTAGAGTTAATCATTTCTCATACTTGATGGATATCCTTAAAAAAATGCGTTTTACATTCCAGTTGTGCATAAGTTGAGCAGAGTTGTGTTCACGTTGAAAAGAGAGAGGAACGAAATAAGTGTTTCTCAATTATTGTTGTTGGAATTGCGTGCGGTACGTCGTCATGGATACAGTGAAGTGCAAATGAATGTGAATGTTCCTGGATTTAAAAAATAAATTAACCAATAAAATGATTTGTTATACTAGGATTGGATGGATACTTTTTTGGGTGTGCCCGGCTTCTTGGTCTGCCAGAGGTGGCTGTGGATTGTAATGGCGTCAACGCTGGCCGACATGGTTTTAGCCGGGATATGGCTGAACTGCTTCCGGTCTGAGTTGTACTTGTATAATCCCTCAATCATCTTGCGGCTGATGCTCTTTGGCCCGATGCCCACCAGCTTTGTGATCTCCTCCATCTCAGGCCAGTACGTGTAAAGGGACCTGAACTGGCAACCCGAGTCTCTAAACAAAATCAGGAAGTTGTTGGCCTCCGATTTCTCCATTTCCTGCAGAGGAACATTTGGCAAAGTCAAAGTCCGTGTCATTAACAAGCAACAATAAAAACGTGTGAATTATCATCAAGCAATCATGACCGGTCTACTGGAATTAGCATGAAATGCTAAGACAACACGTTTGTGCTGTTACATAAATCTGAAATGAACCGTTGCTTTTAAAACGAGAGAAATTCAAGATCATTCGATTAAATGGGTGTGACAATGACTCTTCTTGGGACCGACTGATGCAAGGAAATGGCAACAACAAACAGGTATCTACAAAACTTTGTTGAAATAGATCTAAGGTACGGTTTGATAGAAGCCTGTGTTCATGAGCATTAGAAGCAAATGGGACGAGTTATTTTCTCAAGCACTGACTTGATCCCCCCTGAGAAGACCACAGTCACACCTCCATGACCTCCTCACACTGACATTTACAGAATAATTCAATACCTGCTTAAAAAAGTGACCTCACCTCCAGTATTTTGTTCTTCTGGCCCTCGTTAACCTTACCAGCCAAACAGCAATGGGAAAGAGCATTTTGGATGATATGCTTGTTAGACTTGGCACTTGGCTCCTTATACAGCTTTGGGCCTGTGCAGGAAGTTAAGAATGGCATTAGCTTCGCACAGTCCCGCTCAAACGCAGCAGATCCCTTTCGGCACACGTCTATTTTCAGGATAGTGATGGAGCACAGGACTGTTCCTTCTAGGCACCTCGGTAACAGGGCCTCCCGGTGCTCAGTTTCTTTGATGCGAAACGGATTTTATTTGCACCATCTGTCCAGGCCGACCTAAGCTGGCTCGGCGTGCATGAAAACAGCTTGTGGGGCAGCCGTACCGGTGTACTCCGTGTTGGAGGTCACAGACGAAGTTGTGGAGGCGTTTTCCCATTCCCTCTCTCCGTTGCGACTTCCGGTTCGGCAGGGAGATAGGAACCCATCCGCGGAATCAGACCTGTGGGGGGGGGGGGGAGAGACAAAAACATTACAGAGGCCTCTCTCCTGTTTGAAGAGTAGCAAGCACATTAGCCTATGTTGATGTGAAAGATTCTATAATAATAATAATAATGACAACAATATTATAAGACTGACATTTTCAGAAGAAAGCAACATCGATGACTACAGGCCAAGTGTCCTGGAAAGCGAGAAAGGGGCAGTGAAGCAATGACTGCAGCATTTTTGATACAGAGCTGAGGAAGTGGGCCATGTATAGCGTGAAGCCTAGCATCAGAAATGGTGGGAAAGCAGCAGGCGGGGGCACTGCGGGGGCACTGCGGTGACGTATGAGTGGAGCTGATGCTTTGCAGCAGTTACAGGGAGGTATAACTGATGAGGCCTTTGAAATGTCAAGTCAAAAAGATCCCAAAGTTTTTCTTACGCACTCAGTTATGCACTTGGCTAACTGAGCCGCAATTTTGGTTCTCCGTGGTCCCGAAGCCTAGGCCAAAGCTGGTGTCATACAGCGATGCCGTCAGCATGGTTTATGGCAGAAGGTGCAGCAATGGAGTGGCGGATTAGACTAGAAGGACTGACCTTGAATTTTTCACTGCTGTGGGGCTCAAAAAGAAGCAAAGGTTTCCTGAGGCTAAGCTACTTCTTCTAATAAATTCAGAAAGCAGGGAGAAAATGTGGAAGAAAAGACACGGTATGTAGAAATTTATTGCTTTAGATTCACAAATGCTAAGTAGTGAGATCACAAAGTACAAACCTTTCTTTAAGTTACATAGTGGAGGCGTTGTACTGATAACGTATTGAAATTGAACTCCAGCATAGATTACACCTGCCTTGTGCCCTATGCTGCCTGGGACAGGCTCCAGACCCCCCCATGATCCTGTATGGGATGTATTACTCCCCCCCCTTTTGCAGTTGGTAGAATGTCCACTTAATCCCTCTATAGGTCCCCTCAATGCACAATGACCCTACCATCATAGGAGGGACGAAGGCTGTGTATTTTCTCAGACACCTGTATCTTTTCCATTTGTGTGCTACAGGCTCCAATGAACAAAATGCTCAGAGAAGAGCAGTCTGCTCAGTTCCACCCGCGGCTCTGCATGCGCGCCACCAACACTAGATGTCACTGTTTAGCACTGAGAGGGAGAGACTCAGCCTCCTAACCTACTTCACAGAATAAGGACTGCTTTTCATTCTCTGGGCCTCTCGGACGTACTGACATGAGTGGTGTGTCACTGGGAAAGCCTAGAATTTGTTTTAAATGTAATATGGTATTTTATTCAGGGGTGGATAAACTTATCTGGGGGTTATACCCAGACAGCATGGACATTCAGCCAATTTAACTAACAGTTCCATTATTCCCAAGCAGGGCGGGGCCTTGTTGTTTGCTGGGGCCCAAGGCTATAGCCTAGGACAGTCTATGCATTAATCCACCCCAGATATTATTGGCTAACAAACAACATCTGTATCTGGCCACCTGCTTCCAAGCTAGGCCTGGGCTTGTCAACCCCCGAACTCCCCGTACATCCAGGACTGATTCTGTGCTACACGACTATGCGCAAGCTTGGCTGACATCAAGGCATGAGGCTCACCTGGGGCTCCTCTTGTCAGACTGCACGCTGGCATTGTCTCCCAGGTTAAGCGAAGCCAAAGATAGACTGGAGACTGAAAAGACACGGGGCCGTGAACCTGGATGCAAGACAAAATGTCGGCACAGGACAAACAGTCACAACGGACACACAACGAGTCTGTTCGCTGAGCTTTGACAGACCTGCACAACCTGCAGCTGCTCTGAGGTGCCTCTTATTAATTTGTAAATCCATTTATATAAAAAAGCTATTTATAAAACCTGTGTTTAATCCTTTTTAACCACTTCCACTTGTGGTGCTCTAGGCACAATCCACCACTGATGATACCTTGAATAAAAACCCATTTTTAACAGTCTGGTAAAGAGACTTCCATTTTATAATAAACTGTATAATCAACACATCCATCACAATCGCAAGCAATTTGCAAATTGCAGAAAAGAAAATTTGTGCAGATCAGGCTCTATCCAGGGAGTTAAATCAGCAGAACGTTAGTTCAAGAAAAATCGAAGAGAAGTGGATGGTTTGAAGCCAGAAGATGCAGATTAGTAAAAGATGTGACCGATTAATAATGTAAGGATAAAGCTTGCATTCAGCAGGTCCTTTGGGTGCCATCAGGTGATGCCAAGAGGGACTGAGAAACAGAGGACATGCACTGTTAAGAATAAAAACAGCTGCAGCGAGAGGGTTGCAGGTGGGTCTCAGCGAGATGCCGCCAGAGGGCAAGGCAGGGAACAGACTCCTTGCTAGGCTGTGTCCAGGGTTACCTGCCCCTGCCTTAGGGGACTCCAAGCTGTCCCTGTGAATGGATTTGGGGCGGGGCTTCTTCTGCTTGCTGCCGGCTGGACGCGGTTTTATGACCGTGTCCATGTCCTCCATCAGCTTGAGCTGCTTCCTCCGGAGGTACTCCTGCTTGATGAACTCCCGGCGTGCCTTCTCCTCCTCCTTCTTCTGACGCTCCTCCTCAGCTTTCATCCTGAGGAAGAAGGTGAATGAAAACAGAGCTCCAAAAAATAAACGAAAAACACACAAACAAAACAAACAAACAAACAAGCCCAATACGATAGAAATAAAGCCTGCCATACCTGGGAACAGAAGACTGATAGACTAAGTAACCACAGCAAAGCCCAGCTTCTAATAATAAGATATAAGCCACACAAGTCAGCTGTGGTGCTAAGACGATACTTCGGCAGCATGTTTAAGACTTGACCAATTGCGTGGGTTGAGGTACTTTTTGGCTCCAAAAGAAACTGCTCAACAGACATTTTTTTCTTCCTGTTGAAGTTCCATTTTGTAGCTAACACATTTAGATGTTCCTTCAGGTTCCTCCATTTTCTGTTCAGCAGAGGGCTGACATTCGGGCGGGATTCCCTAATGGGTTTCATTTTGGGAACGGCCTAGCCATGAACTCACCGTGCCTCTTCCTTCTTCTGCTCCATCTCCGCTTCCAGTTGCTGCTTCTTCTGCTGCGTCTCTCTCTCCCTCCTCTGCCTCTTTTCAAACAGCGCCGCCCGCTTCATTGCCATGCCATCCTCTCCTTTCATGTCGTCCTAGAGGAAATGCATTGAAGACACACTATGAAAAGCCTGAGATCAGCTGCTGATTTTTGTCAGGTCAAGACAATAGTTTAATTCATCCATCCATCTTTCTCCCATCATGTAAATGGCAGCTGAACTTTGATGCACCTGCTTGATTCCAGGGCATGTTTCACGTTTACATATTTTCACCTTAAAATAATGTTAAAAATGGGCAACATTTAGCATGGAACAACCACAGACTGTCTGAGAGATCCACATAGCCAACCCCACAACAATGAAATTTAATTATTCAAGTCTCCTGACCTAAATCTAAACTCAGACTATCCAACTAAAGTGAAGAAACCTATTACCTAACCCTTTAAACAATACAAAATCCATCATGTTCGCAAAAAGTATAACGCATTTCCCAACAGCAAAGTTAGGAGAGACCAGTAGGAACTGAAATTATGTTAGTCAAGTTAATAAGGTAAGTTATCCTTTTAACCACACATATAAGCCTGTAACACTGATGAATGGACTGTGATGTAAGCGTACTGTACCTTAAAGAAAAACCCACAGCACATCTTTTGGTCGTCCTCATAGACGTCCCCACTTCTTTCTCTGCTGTAATCTAGCATCTGTCCATCCACTGGCTTCAGCACAGACAACGGCACCTCTATCAGATTGCTTGTGCTCTGAGCAGTTAGATCAACTGGACTTCCAGAGGAGGTAATCGTGAAGGTCTCTGTAATGGGCTGCGACAGGACCTCAGACACTGTCGATTCTATGGGCTTGAATTGCTTTGGCCGAAGCTCTTTGGTTGGAGACGCTGGTAGGCTCTTTGTAACACCATGAGGCTTAGCTTCATGTAGGTCTTTCTCTGTGGCCTCAGTCGCCATTGATGTTTTAGCGTCTTCTCCCAGGTAGGCAAAGGAGCTCACCTGGGCCTGACTGGGGGAGAATCTCCGTAAGCGTGGGAGACTGTCCACCGACTGTGGGACAGTAAGGACCCGATTGAAAGGGGTAATCTTCAGCTCGCTGGGCCTTGGAGTCCTTTGGGATTTCGAGTGGAAGGAAGCGGACTTCTTCTTGATGTTAGTTGGCGATAGGTGGGTGATGTGAGGAGAGTCTGCTGGGGATGGTGACCCTGAGGAGCGTGCGGCATGGCGAAGCTCCCGCATCTGCTTCTGAGGGGAGGGCTGGGAAGGAGAGATTACACAGGACTGCTGTTCCCTCATCTGCATGATTACTTCTTGCTGCTGGGCCAGCCGCTGCATTTCCATCTGCAGGAAGTTGAGTGAGACATTCAGCTTCTCAATTGACTTGGTGTACTCTAGAAGATCTGCCTCTCCAAAGCCGTCTTCATTGGGTGACTTCAACAATCTGGCTTGACTTTGTTCAGCACCATCAGGAACATCCAGTTTGCCAATCCTAAATTGTAGGTTTTGGTCATGGGACTGAGGGTCTGCAGAAAGCTTGCCGTCTTCAATCTCTACAGATTCCTCTCTGAATGTAACGGCACCTTCCTCTTTCTTCTTCACGACAGTGAGGAACGCAGACCTTCCCATCCTCTGCCGATGCCGCGAGAAAGCTGCCTCCACCTTCTTCTTCTGGGCTTCTATGGCCCGCCGCTTCTCCTCCAGCTTCATCTTCAGCTGCACCATCTCTGATGCCATTTCCTGGGCAGGATCCTTTGGCGACTGGGGCGTGGGACTTGCCTGGGGTGTTATTGCCCAGGATACCATGTGTGGCACATTGATCTCGGCGCTCTCTGGCGTGGTTTTCTGGGAGCTGCCTCCACTACTTTTACCCTCAATTTGGTTTCGCTTCTTGAACTTCTGCTCAGCAAAGCTTGTCATTTTGACCCCAGAACTGGTGGAGGTTGTGCTTCCAGCTGGGGACTTCCCACTTATCAGACTGGTGCTAGGGCTGGGAGTGTCTTGGGGGCAGGCTCTCGTATCATAATCATGGTCCATATCCAGGTCCATGCTCATGGTGTAGTCCCTCAGGGATGAATCTTCATCCAGGGTCTCTTGAATGTCCTCCGTCTTCACATGGATCCCAGTATCAACCTCTGTAGTGTCTGGAGTTACAGCCCCCTTCGATTCTGACACTGAGTCGAAATTGCCATTGTCTGTCCTCATTCTGGAAGCCAGAGCTCCTCTGTCCTGAGAGTGCAGAAAGAACCCATTGTTTTCTTGGTCATCGTGAAAGCTGTTCTGTGATTTTTCAGAATCGTGGATGATTTTCAGAGCCTCTTCAATGCTGGGAGTGGCTACGAGTTCTCCATGCTCATCCAGGGCCTGTCCATTAGGGACGTCCCGCTGGTTTCTGGGATGGGGTGTTCTTGGTTGCGTCTCGGAGTGAGGTCTCCCCGGATACTCCTCTTCCTCATCGATGCCCTCTGTCTTGCTCAACCCATTCACAGGCTGGAATGACAGGTTTCTTTTCAAACTCCTGGACGTATAATTGACCTTGAAGCTTAACCCATCCGTACTAATGGACCTGTTCATCCCTGGGTCAGGGGGTGTGGATGCTTGAATCGTGTTCTCTTTATCTAGAGGGATGTCAAAAGATACTGCCTGCGCAGACGATCTGTACAAGAGATACAGAATTCCCATTATATCGTTAGGGACAGCCTGATGTTCATATCTTTTAACAACAGCACCATCTTTGTTCATTTAAGTCTAACTGATTGTATTATCTAAGTCAGAGTGAGATGCTGTTTCAGAAATTACCTTTTCTCTTTGGGCCATGCTCCCACAGAGCCATCTGCAAGAGACATCGAGGCTGATCGTGCGATTACACCTATAGAACGAAAGAGAACTTTAGCACACAAACGGGGCCAGTAGGCACAGGATCTATGAGGATCATTTCAATGACAAGATAAAAACAAAAAAATGAATTTACCTGATGCTGATGACTGAGGTTGTGGTTTCAGTGGCAAACTTGAAGAAAGACAAACAGAGCACATACAAAAATGTTACCAATCTGGGAAAACATGGAGGGAAACATAATTAAAGAAATAACATCTTATATGCTACAGCTGAGCAGCGTTATAGCCAGATCTGTTCTATGGCTGTCACTGACTGCACATGCTCTTTGACAATACAATTACATAATTAGGCAATGACACTTTAATCTGCCCCCCCCCAATTTGTAAATTGTTGTTCATTAAACTTTGGAAAGATTACTTCGATAGTAAGGATAAATACAAGACAATATCAAGAAATTGCCTTTCACGGTGAACGGCACATTTCATATCTCAGGAAAGGAGAATGAGATGAAGAGAAGAGAAGAGAAGAGAACCTGGGTCTATCTGATGGGGGAGGTTTCTCCATAAAGCTTCTCCTGGTCACATTGGAGATGGTTACAGAAGGCATGCTTTTCAACACAGGGCTCGGTTCTGGGCCTGGAACCAAGCAGGTACACAGGTGCAGTTGATTCTTTCAGACCTGCAGGTGTCTGTATGTTCAGCTGCCATTTGCATGACAGGAGGCAGCATGATATACATTATTATTTTCTTTTTGTGTACCTTCAGGATCTAAAACTCGGGGTCGCACAAACGGGGGCTTGACAACCTCAAACCACCAGAACAGCTCGGCCATAAATACAAGGAAGTTATTCTGTAAGAGATCCAGACAGACACAGTCAGAGGACATTAGAATAAAGGCGTGAAACAATTACAGGTAACTATGAAATCACTAACAATGGGGAAAAATACACTCTTCCATTAGCAGATAATCAATCACTCTCCGCCGCAAAATGCCTCTAATAAAAATGAATAGCATCTTAAACAGACGATTTATGTTTCTGTAAAAAAAGAAAGAAAAAAAACAGCCCTGAAGTTTTTTAAGCTCATGGTCACTAATGCCCCTGATACAGTGTGGTGGTTTATTTGCAAAAGTAAATCATGTTTTCACGGAACGTAAAGCGTACGATCTTTACCCCATAACAGAAAGACCATGATAAAACTGTCTTCACAGGAGGCATAATGCAAATAAATCACTTTATGCATTAACTAGACCAGTGCAGATTTAATTCTTTTTAATTTGTTTCCTGCTGCAGAAATGCAATAGAAGATAAATGTCAGCAGCTGATTGACAGTACAAGCCATGGTCAGACCTGAAAAACAAGGTCAAGTTCATAAAAGGGAATTAAATGCTTAGGACACGAAAGGCATGTCACTGCACACTGGTACTAGTGTGATTAAGTATGTCACAAAAGGCTGTAACAGTCTGAGGTTGTGTAAAGACAGTCATTTCCATTTATTAAAATGAGTCACTTGGGGTCTGACCTATTCTGACAAACAGTGGGGTGATGGCAGGAGACCGGTGAACTAAACACCCATATTCAGTCAGATAATTTTGGTAGAGGTCACCAGCGCCTGCTAGAGGCATTTCATACAAAAACGATTAAATTAAATTGTGGTTTATATTACATTGCTGCTACCTGATATGTACAATTAGAGGCAAACTAAAATATAAGCAACAGCAGTGTAATAATAATAACTAAATGTGTGAAGCTCAAGTGGAGTTGTGGTTGACAATGAGCTGCACGGCGATAGAGAAATAGTACAGGGTTCGAATGAGGGGTGAATCCCACAGCTTTTCAGCTGCTGCAGAGAAAGGCACTATATAAATATATAAAACTTATTATTACTCTTATTATTATTTTATTATTATTATTATTATAACAGCTTAACAACTATTATAATTAATGAATAATATTTAATAATTATAATCATAATCATCATCATCTTTACAGTGATAGTCTAAGGAAACCTAACTGTCATTTTAAATTTCATATTATGAATGAACATATGATCACATTTATTACCACATATGGTAATTAATGGATAACCAGTAGTATTTAAATACTACTTATCTGGATCAGCTACCTGGTTACAGGGGGAAAAAAAAACAAGATGACCTGGTTTGACCCTGAGTATTGAAAATGCTCCCTCTTTTAGTATAATGTAATTTCCTCGCTGTGTAAGCGTGACGGGTACAGGCATGAATAATCCCAACATGTCGTGGCAGCGCGTTGATGGAGTCGATGCATTTGGATTGCAGATGCGCATCGTTTGATGTGTGCTGCATGCTGCATGCTGCATGCTGCGGTCTGTGCTTTAGTCATCCGGTACAATGTGCTCTGAAGCTGAAGATAGATATATAATCTACGCTCAGCCTTAGTGGCACGAAAACATCCCCCGGTTGTGTGAAAAAGCCCTTTTCAAGAAATAAATAAAAAGATGATTATAATTTTGACTGGCTGGAGCCGCAGCCTCGGTGTCCTGCGGGCGACGCTGCAGAGAAGCGGCAACGGGTCCCAACTGGAGCCCACCAGTCACGACCGTGGGAAGGGTGAGCGAGGAGGTATTCATGGGGTGCTGAGCGCAGGAGTCACCTGCGTGATGTTCCAGCACATCTGCCAAGTAAGCATATCGCCACGCCCCCGTGCAGATACTCTGCATTAATGCCCGATGTGCTCCCCACAGCTGTGCCTCACGCTGCAGAACCACAGCGACAGTCCTCAAGGTCAGACCGTCTAGGGGAACCTTCTGAATACGCAGCCAAGAAACAGCCCATAATAATCGTTGTTTTCCTGTCGTCTGTAGATCTGCTAATCTGCTCTGCTTTGAAATTGTGCAGTAACACAAAAAGTCAAAAGAGATCATTTTAAAACCTTTTAAACCAATCTGGACACATAGATGGACGTTTGCTGGTGGTGGCCCTGGTTCTTCATGCCTCCACACTGGGGGTTCGAATCCCGCCTCTGCACTGCATGTGTGCAGCTCGCGTTGTCTCGCGCCCCCCCCCCCCCCCAAGACATACAGTTAGGCTAAATGGCATCTCTAAATTGCCTATAGTGTGCCCCCCCAAGTCATGTGCCCCATGCTGCCTGGAACAGGCTATAGGCCTCCTCAAGACCCAGACCAAGATAAGTGGTTAGAAAGTGAATGGATGTTTGGTAGATGTTTGCTGATAGGTGTAAGTACATGTATCTTTCACATATATAGACCTCAATTAATTATCATCTGTGAAAAAGCCATATGGACAGAATAGCTTTAACAGGACAAATAGTCAACAAATAGTTGAGAAGATTACTTTAGAAATGTACAGTAATTCATTACAATTACAAGTTACTCTATTTAAAATGTAATAGTAGTGTAACTATTTCAATTACTATATGAAAGTAATGTAACTAATTACATTTGATTACTTTTCTAAATTATGAATGAATATTCTCAACTGTTAACCTTTTTTATAATGTTGTAACCTTTCAGTGTTTACCTTAAAGCAGTACTAAACACTGACTACTGTCAAACTCCTTTCATTTTGGAAATGTTTTTTATAGGATAACCAATCAGAAGCATTGAAGAGTTTCAAACTTTCGGCTGTGGAGTAACTGTAACTGTAATTTACACTTTTTTCTCTAGTAACTGTAACCGATAACAATTACATTTTTTTTGTAATTAAATTACGTAATGCCGTTACATGTAACTCGTTCCTCCCCAACACTGACAATCAGGTATAGGAACCTAGGCTGCTTAGGGAATACATGTATGAACTATTATTACAACCAATGCCACTGGATTTTCAAGAAATTTGCTTTAGAATTAGTGGTCGCAATCGGGGTTTAATACCCGAACAAAGACGTACTGCTGTAATTTCAGGGATTTAATTAAGACTGGGCAAAGATCACAGGATTAACACTCATAATCCCGCAGCAGCAATCCTGCAGTTTCGTACCCCATCAGGAGTTGTGCGCCAAAACATTCTACATGCTACAGGCCTGGTGTTTGTTGAAGAGTCAGTTACAGGAGAGACACAGAGGCATGTGCCACTTCCAAAGCAGGCAGCTGGTCAACAAGACACAATAGAACTAATTCAACACCCCAGCAGCTCTTCAAATGCTTTCACGCCCAAGCTGAAAATTCCTCAGTGACCTGACCAATAGAAGCCCGTCTTCCAGGTAACTCGGTGACGTCATAATCATAGCGTGAGGCCGTATAAAATTACACGCCTCTGCAGCCTCATCTCTAAAAGAACTTGCTTGAAATGCTTAAAAATGCTGGAACAGATTCATGTGAATTTACTTTCCACTAAATTTGTACGCAGAACAAGTTAAGCTAAGAATATTCAATCAAAATTTCCTCTCACATTAACAAAGAAACATAACCCGTTCGAATCAACATGTGACACAGATGATTATCTCCGGGGACAAACCCAACAATATAATGATTTTTAAATGATTTTTCAAATTGCTAAGTGATATCACATAGCTACACCTACTTACAGAACTGCAGCTTGAAGGTTTTCACCACAATTTCTGGTATTACAAATTTAAATTAATAAACACTTGGCTCAGATTACATATAGGCGGATAATATAGCAAGTTACTTTAGATAAAAGCTTTGCTGAGGCGAACAATTAATTACGACAAGCATCCTCTTTATTCCTCCCCCCACAAATATATAAAAATCTGTATCTGCATTCACAAAAGTCTGAACTGTGTAGTGGTATGACACAGAAATCAACTGTAAAATACTGAAAATACGTCAGATTGATCCTTCATTTTAATCATCGAGTGTTGAAGATTGGGGCTGCCCCAACAGGAGTGAGCTTTGTGTAAGGCAGCATGCGGAAGCTCTTAGCCTGGATGAAGCTGATCGCCAACCACTGTGATACAGCTCAAGATGACAGCAGGCTTTTAGAGAAAGGCTTGGCTGGGGTCAAACTGCTAACCTTAAGCACCAGTAATCACAGTAGTATCCTTAATAACAGTAAACCGATAATGGTCACAACTGTAATAACAGAAATCCTTTTCAGTCAGATGGACGGTCTCTGCATGTTTCGGGATTAAGAGGATCAACAGTTTTAAGTCCTTCAACCAGCTCTGAGACGACACCCTAGTTCAGTCTGGTAAGGAAATGACTGGTATGTTCAACAACAATTCAAGCATGCGAGGATTAATAAGCTAAAAACTTTATTTCTGCATTTTCAGAACATGCATTCTTATTCATGAATAGATAAAAATAACTAAATTAATAACGAACAAATATACATATTTTGAGACATTAACCTCATTAATTCAAGATTTCAGCCTTTTGCAGAAATAATGCTAACGTATGCTAATACCTCCATTTAATCCAGCATTAAATAACTACGTATCACTGCCAGCTTCTGGGTAGTTCGGCGGTGGCCAGACGGCGAGACTCTGGGTTGACACTGTCTGTCTGCCCCACGTCACACATCAATACCCCCCCGTCTCTGACTTACTGCTAAAGGCTACATGCCGTTTGCTCAGACCTTCCATGCTGGTGGCAAGATGCCGGCATGAGGCACAGAAACGGCCAGCTGCCCCCCCCCAGCAGTCACGGGGGCGCCGTCTGAGGAGCGAGTGTGTCCCCACACGAGATTCAGAGCCGAGGTCCGAGAGTCCGCAACGTTTACGTATTACGGTTATTTAGAAGACGCTTTTATCCAAAATGACATGCAGTTGAGAAAGCAGGGGCAGCCAGTTCCTGGGGCGATTGGTGGGTTAAGGGACCCAACAGTGACATCACTCTGAAATTCAAACCAATGACCTTCCAATCATAGGCACAGCATCCTAACTCACTTAGATACACACTCGATAGCCCTAACCCCAAAAAGTAGCAGGTGTTACCGGATGAGCCTTTTCTTACAGCCACTGCTCAAGTGTGTAATTCAATCAAGATATACTTTCTACACATCAAGAGGAACCACGACATTCCTCTTCAAGAAGAAAGGAAATTGACATGATTATTATTATAATCTGAGCCTCAAGGACTTCAGGGTCATGACAAACAAGATGCTGCACCACGCTGAATCTTTGTGGTTTTCATAGAAAGAGAAAATACTATGTAACCACCTCAGAGTTTCTTTCTGCCACAAACAATCCAAAAAAAGTCCTGGTTAAGCTCCAGCCTGAGTAATTTTAGGCACAGCAAAGAAAAACACTGTGTGCCATAACTGTTACTGTGTCCACCGCGTTTCTCACAAAAAACGTCTGGGTGGGAGGACCGAACTGCAAACACATGAAATGGCCAAAAGCAGCAAACGACACCAGTCTTGTTAACGTACCCGGCAAAGTCGTTAAACCTTCCGACAACGAAGCCCATGAGAAGCCTCGAGCAAGCAGAATGGCTGCTGTCACCCCGACAGCCTTCGAGCTCCAGTCAGGATGACTCAAGGCTGAGTACCGGGGTGAGGAAAAAAATTGGCTGTGATCATGTGCCCCTTCCCCCGCAAAAGCCGCTCCCTGCCTCAAATCCCCCGGTGTCCACGCGCCGTGACTCATGTCTTCCACCGGGGGTCGTTTAAATATGTTTGGCACATGGGGAAACACACGGACAGTGCGTGATTGGCCCTTACCTTAACAGAGGAGGCAGCGTACAGCATATCTTCCAGGGTAAAGTGGCAGCAGCGGTTCAGATACTCCTGGCAGAAGTCCAGGATCAGCTGCAGGTTGTACAGGCTGTCTGCTAATGACATGGTCTTCTTCAGGCATATATCTGTGAGGGAGGGGCAGAAAGCCAGGCTGTACCATCAGCAGACCTCGCCTCGGCTGATAAATCCAATCGCTCCGGCCGCACAGAGGAACTCTGTCTATCTTAGAACAACAGCTGCATTTGAGACGCCGAGGAGCTGCCAATCACACCCTCCCCACCGTGAGTGGCCATGGCTTCCTGTCAGCATCTGAACAGAGGGAAACTCCTTCCATTTTCCATTTAATCTCCTTTTGTTTAACGTACTTATCTTCAAAATAGCCGGGCTGCGTGCGATCTTATCAAACCTAATTGTTTTCGAGATTTGCCTGATTTAATTTAGAATGAGTCAATCACTGGGTTATAAAGCTTCACCCACCTCCACTCACCTCCCCACCAATTGGAATCTACAGGAAAAAAAAGGCCGGTTTTGGTCCGGCACCAGCACGGATGGTCTATGGGTGTGAGCACCTTCTCGATTTAGTGCAGCTCGCGAGGGAATCGTAATGGTACTGTGGGTGTTGGGGCGTGAAAGAGAGACAAAAAGGAGATGACCTAGAAAAGGTGGGAGATGGTCAGCAGGTGCTGGGTCGGGGGGGGGGGGGCTGGACCCCAACCCTGGGACACGCACCTTCCAGCTTGACTATGTCAGGGCAGTAGAAGTGTAGCAGGGCGGCCAAGGCGCAGCCATCGGCACAGTCCTTCAGCAGATTGTCCACAGCTGGGATCCAAGGAGCCTGCTTAGGCAGGGCCTGCTCCTTCCTGTACCGGGCCTGTCACATGACAGGAAGTGCAATCCGGTTAGATACGCTCTCCGTAAACAGAACACACAGACCCGATCGCAGTGCTACAAATAGCTCCGCAGAGAGTGTATTTTTAAATCAGGGCGCTGGAATTTAATGGGACAAGATCACAGTATGAGAGAATACTTGTTTCTGAATGCAGATCTATGATTAATAATCCAGATAGATGCACTAAACTGTCTCCGCTACATCTGCATTTTCATTTTGCTTGGTTTAAATGAAAGCAAATGACCCAGTTTTCTTATGGAGAAAAATACCCCCTAAGATCAGGCTCAATCTTTTCTGTACTACTAATGCTACAACTAGACCTGCTCTGTGTGGCTCCAGTTACTTTCAGCTGTCCTTTGTATGGCCATTACAAACCAGGCCATGTTCTCTTAATAACCTTAATCCTTTTCCTGTAATAATTCAGTGCTGAGCAGTTTTGCCCATATTCCTTTTAATTGTAAAACTATACAATGTAACATTGCTAATGACGGAACATGGGCCGAGATATTATACGAGTCTCAATGGATTTATCATCCAATAACAAGCATTTTACTATATTTCCCAAAAATACATACATATACAGACCTTTACATATATTCATGAACATTTTAAAGCATTTGGTCCTGCACTATGAGCACGGCAACAATGCCTCTCTGTTCATCGTGGCTTATTCATACAAATGAATGGATTAATGAGGCCTTCATTACTTTTCATTATCTAATGTGAGAGGAAGCTTTAATAATTGAACAAAAAAATAAAAAATCAGCACCACATTTCTAACAAAAACGTTGATCTGAACAGCTTTTCATAACTGTAGATACGGGGGTTGCAATCGCTTATACTTTGTGGTTTATAAATTGATTCTGTGAAATATTGGGATAATCCACCCCACTAATCACATGTTCTGATCTGAATAATGCTGACTGCATGGGAGAGGTTCTGCTGCTACAATGGAAATTCACCTATGAAATATTAGTTATTCCACATCTAAGACATTAAGGTGATATGTTTATCTTTTTCATATGTTTAAAGCCAGATCTGCTCTCGCACGGCACATTATTTAATTAATGTCATACATTTAATATCCTTTTAACGAAAAGTAGTTGCTGTCCTCAAATGTCCTTCAAATAAGATCAAACACAGGTAAGCACCGTAACTATAGAACAAGACCGTAAGGTGCTGCAAAGACCTCTGAGAGACTTGGCTCTCCAAGTTACAGAACTCGATAACACAATATCCAGATATTAAAATACATTTTATTTACAGTTCCTAAGAAGAACAAGGAAACTAATATTGATAGTGGTTTATGATGAAGGAAGCGGGCTGGTCGAGGGGGCGGGGGAGTGTGGGGGGGGGGGTGGCCAATGGCGGACAGGTTCACTGGCAGGACAAGGCATGCATTACAAAGACTGAAGGATGAGGGAGGAGATGAGAGGAGATGAGTGTAGCTGGCTGGTGGACTTACAGGAACCAGTTTCCAGTACCATTTGGTGGGAGACTGCCGGGACCGCAAGAAGGAGGAAGAGGAAGTAGAAGTAAAAGAGAGAGAGTCAGATGGAGGAGAAGCAAAGACCATCAACGGAGTCTGCAGGCAAGATCCATGAGATATCTGACGGCTTCAAGCAAAGGGACACACCAACCCCCCCCCCCCCCCCATCCCCGCCCCCCTGATTTCAGTAACACCCTCAATGTGCCGCCCCTGAAAGGTCAGTCGTACCAGCCTCCTCCATTCCTCAGCCCTTTGCAAAAGGTCGCAACACAACAGTGCTGAACCGTTATCTGTGCAATCAGGAAAAACAAAGACCTATTATGGTCATTCTGATAACCCAGCTGAGTAAAAACCTGTGTTGATATCATCTGCTGATTGCATTTTCTAGGTAGATTGAGCAGGAGACACAGTTCAACACTCCTGGTCTAATGGATTCACCACCAGTAAAAGCAACAGAAATATATACATAGTTTTGAGGTCAGATTTTGGAAGGTTTGGTACTTTGCTACTCAGTTTTCACACGAACAAACTGCAGACCTGTGGTACAGAAAAAAGAGTCTTGAATGAAACTCTGTGACACTCTTCTGTGTCCTGAACCTTCAGGGGCACCAGAACATGTTTATATCCAGTCTGGGCAAATGACCAAAAAGCAGCAGAGCCGAAAGCCCCCAAACCTAAGGCCAGTTGTCTTGTTCGCTGTTGGGTTCCTGTAATTCAGACACGATCCGATGCCTCTGTAGAGCGACGGCTGACATCAGCATCGCACGCAGTTATCACCAAACTTGGAGGCGGCTGGTCGCAGACCACCGACCCGTAGCCCCACCGCGACACGCCATGTGGGGTCAAGATCAGCCCCCCAACCCCGCCCCCCCCCCATCTAAACATCATCTGACTCTGCAGTCCTCGTCCCCACAATGTGGGAATGGCACAGTACTGTGCGTGTTTGTGCAGTCAAATGCTTTTTCCACCTACAGGTACTTCATGGGTTGTGCTCAAAAGGTCAAAAGGGAAATATGTAGTACAAAGACAGATCATGTGAATAATTAACTGTAAAATGAGACAAAAATAAAAAGCAACATTAAAACTAACATTGTAAAATAACCATAGAGGATTCGGTGTGTCAAATTCAAGTTCAAATTCAAATCCCGTATGTGTGTGTGTGTCATGGGGGGAGGGGTCAGTCACATGATCAGCCCGGTCTGCAGTGATTTGCTCCTCTTTATATGAATCGTGTTGGACCACAGCCTTGTACCCTGGAGCTCTACTACGTAGCAACTTCCCGCTCGCACCCGTTACACGCCAAAGGCATTAACCACACCTATGTAGATCTGTTAAGTGAACATGGCTAATTTCGTTCTAATCCGATTGCACCATAGACCATGGCGCGAGAACTCACCCGTGGCCCAGTGGAAGGCTCCGAGGACTGGCTCTCTCTCATCTTCTGCTCGTTGACAATGATGTCTTTAAGATACTCGTTTACCTTGTTAATGATGGAGAAAAACTGTTAGTTACAGGGAGTCATTAAGTTCCCACTGATAAACTGCAAAAACACATCGGCAGCAAGCCAAGTAAAACAGCCAGCTGTCTCACATCCTTAATTACCCTGGGTTATTAAAACATCAAGTTTGTCATCATCGCGCCAGCAAAGCACTTAGACTAATATCTTCCTTTAGTTCATCTCACCAACATGATTGTCTACTAAACATGCTGAGCTTTATTTCAAACCCAAGATTAAAATTTTAATTAAAACAATGGCTGCAGATTTCAGAGGTTATAAATTTTAGATACAGAGAAGCTCTTCAGTACACTGGCATCCTGTACAGAGTGTCCCCTTGTCCTGTGCCCAGAGCTTCCTGGGACAGGCTCCAGGCCCGACTGTGATCCTGACCAAGATCAACGGATGGATGGATGGATGGAAGGATACACTTTAGATACTGAGAAGCCTTTCAATGCACTGACATTGTGTTCAGAGTGTCCCCTATTTTGGGCCCTATGCTTCTAGTCTCAAAGGGGTTCTGTACTGGATAGATAGATAGATAGATAGATAGATAGATAGATAGATAGATAGATAGATAGATAGATGGATAGATGGATAGATGGATAGATGGATGGATGGATGGATGGATGGATGGATGGATGGATGGATGGATGGATGGATGGATGGATGGATGGATGGTTGCACAGCAGTAACTCTCACCCTGTCCTCTGCTGTCACTGTCTCTCCTAGCCAGTGTGACCCTGCACTCAGGTGCGGATTAAGGTGCACAGAGGCCCCTAGGCTACAGTAGTCTGTGGGCCCCCCAACCCCACCCCCCTCCGCGCCAATGGGGGCCCCCTTGCAGGCTGGCACACGTGGGGCCCCTAGGCTTAAGCCATATCTAGCCTGTGCGTTAATCCGCCCCTGCCTGCACTACATACATCTTTGTGCAGAGCAGTAGTTCTCATCCAGTCCACATTTTTGTTCCATTTCCACCACATACATGTCTGATTTAACTTGTCAGCTAAGTAAAAGCCCTTGATTACCTGATTCCAGCATGCAGGTGATGGAACGGAGCAAAAATGTGGACTGGCTGGGATGTCCTAAGGACTGGGATGCAAACCAGAAAGAGAGAGAGAGAGAGAATGCAGTGCGAAGCATCGCTCCCTCCGGCTGAACGAGACGTCGGCAGACACCGGCCGCCGGCCCAGTTCCAGCAGCAGCCTGCTCACTCAGCGGTGCCCGGCCCGCGGATGTGGGACTCTTGGCTGCACGCTGGTAGTGACAGCTGTGGTGCGCTGCGTGCGCCGTGTCGCGCGGGTCCACAGGGCCCCGGCGGAGCTGGCTACTGTGCACGACACCAGTGTAAACAAGCGCAGCATTTTTTCACAGGGCGGACCTCTCTACCGCGGGCATAACACTGTCCTCCCAGGCACGCCGTCCATGGGTGGCGTCGTAGGACAGAGCGAGGGGGCCTGAGATTAAAACTCCAAACTCCCTCGGGGTTTCATTACCAAACTGGACAAGTGTCATCAGGTCACAGGGGGAAACTGGCTTCAGTCTACTGGCAGCAGACTTCCTAAATAAATCACAGCATTTACATCTAAAGTATGCAGAACTATAAACAAGTGTGATTATTTAAAATTACACCACTTACAAAACATAAACAGCATAATGAAACAGTCTGTTGCCTAGAAATGCATAGCTCCCTTAAATACAGCCATTAATAAATGACTGATACAGTGATTATGAAGATGTCATGAATGTATCAGGCATCTTCTGTGATAAACGCCAGGGGTGAGTGGAGGCTAACAATCCCCTAACATACTTACTGACTTTCAGGTCTATGTGGGGTCTCCCAGTGCAGTGGACTGAAGTCCAGCCTGATACACAAGACCAGCAGTCATCAGCCCAGCAAAAGACAGGGTTTCCCAACCCAATCCTTCCGGACCCACAGACAGTTCATGTTTTTGCTTCCTTTCAGTAGCTGGGAGGGAGCAAAAATGTGTTTCTGTGGGTCCCCAAGGGCTGGGTTGGAAAACTGAAGTAAAAGACGGCTCACCTTGTTAATCCAGCTGGCCACTGCGTCCTCCGTGTCGTAGGGCACATCGCTGTCGGGATACAGGGACGCATACTGCCGCACACAGGACACCACTTTCTCCACGCTGACGGTCTCCATCGTATACGCCATCATCAGACTGTCAATCATGGCCAGGTGGGCACTCTGCAACACAGGAAGCCCTGCTCAAGAGATCGACGCCCGGCTTGTCTCCTCCTAGGGGAAGGACTCTCCCTGGCCACTAAATTCCCCGATCTGCTTGGCACGCCTCATTTTCAGCCACATCTCTGTCATTCCCAGGCATTCATCCTATAGCAGTTGTAAAGAAAATTCCTTTATTCCTTTCTTAGCTTACTGATCTTTATGGATGTGGTTAGGAGTCTTGAAATAGTGTATAACTATTCCCTGCAAAATAAACACACACACACACACACACACACACACAAAGAAACAGCCACTGTACATCAAAGCAGCATTGCTTACAGAATGATGGCAGTTCCAAAAATATTTTAAATATTAGATGATAACCATAAGGTCCATTTCTTATAGTTTAAGAGTGCTGTAATTTTAGTGGACAGTGGTACAAGATTAGGTACTGTATCGTTTAGTGTTTATGCTGTAAGACAGAAATGTAACGGTTAATGCAGTAAACACGAGTGTTGTATTACTAGTGGAAGAGAGGTCTCCTCTTTCTGAGAGTGACCTAACAGGGGATCTTCCCACATGATTCCTTATGGAATGGACTGTCTTAAAGGGGTTTTCCCCCTCAGTCACGGGGACTCCCTGCTTTGGCTGTGACACGTGTCACGGGGCATGCAGGGAACACGCAAGCACGCGGGTTAAAGCTTGCGACGCCCACACCGCGGAGGCCCGGACAGCTAACGGAACAAAGGGAGGCTAATCGTCAGCTCAGCGTGCCGAACACGGCCACAGGCAGAATGCTAACTGTCAACGGTAAAAAAAACGGGGCATGGATGCATGGAAAGCAGCTAGAAAATGCGAGCGGCGGTGTTTGTCGCAGCAGCTGAGGCATCATCTGCTAACTGACTGCTTCACGCACAGAGGACAGAGTGTTATTCTGTATAAGGACTGTGCCGGAACAATGGGTATCTGTTTAACACGCGACACTCGGACACAACTGCCAATGTCTTAATCTGCATTCAGCACTGATTCTAACCAGAAATATTCATGCTTCTTTTGTTAATCCTCCATTCGACATGGTCTAGGCACCAGCCGTTCTAGGAGGAGTTACCTGTAGCTTGCGGGTCTCTAAATTTGGAACCCCTGATCATTCAAAAACACCTCAACACTGCAGACTGGGGTGACCAGATAATCCATGTCAACAATGACAGCATTTGGAAACTAAATTAAAAGGAGCTGGATTTCACTTTAGAACTGAAGTTCTTGCTGTGTGCTGATTGGTCAGTCTCCTGTAAGCATGCGTGTGTCAGTAATGATATTTTGAAATAGCTGGATGAGTCTTTCAATCAAGGAAAACAAACCATAAGAAGCACAAAGACGACGCCCAACACGTGAACCTTTTAGCCTGGCTGCAGCGGAGCCTTTCCGTTTTAAAGTAGTTTGTAAAACATTAAGTATTTCAGTGCTTCTTCCCCGTCATGGATAATCTGGTCACCCTACTGCAGACATTAATGCCGTCCGATCAGAGGGCGTGTGGAGTTCACACGTATTTAAAAAAAGAAAAAAACAGAAATGAGCTGAATAAGACACTGTCTGACATATGGGGGGGCACGGAATCACACTGCATTTAATACTTAAGGCATTAAATCAACCAGCGCCCCCTGTAGGAGAACACAAGCAAAGCAGTGCATAATTGCAGCCTGCCAGCCTGATAAGCAAACACCCCACATAGGGGCGTTTATGCCCCGATCCGCAAATGACACAGTGCTGCCCCAGCTGGCTGGGTCTGTAATTTAGCCAACAAGAGATGCAGAGATGGCAGGTAGCCAATTACCACGGGTCCCACCTCCTTAATTAAATAACTCGCTATTTCAGCAGTTTTTAACTTGTTTGCTTTGTGGCTATTTAGGGTAAGGACATTCTTAACAGCGACAGTGCTATTACCAGGCAACAGAGCACCTTTCTGAGCATTGTGCTTTAAAAGCGTTTATCCAGGCTGAGACGCTGACTTATTGTGACATGGGGGGGGTCCAAGCAAGTAGCTCCGGGCCTGATGGTTTTGGCGAATTTGTTTTGCTTTGCCTCATTTACCCATTTATTGTGAGATAATCCACAAGAGTAATAAGCAAATATGTGGATATCGAGCATGACTTTGTTAGGATTACATTATGAATGCATATAGAGGTATGTACAATTGTACATCTACATGTAAACATTTTAGTTTAGTCATAAATGTTTCTGTTGATCCAATTTATATGAATATTTGGAATTATGTTGCCATAAAACAAATCCTGCAGACATAGTGAAACATAACAAAATTGTACTTAAAAGTTAAAATGCTGAGCCTAGCAGAAAAAATGCCACAGTCTGCAGGAACACAAAGCCTTTTTGTCAATGTATAATGTAATAATATAATGGCACCGAAATAAAAATCGCACTGTAAGATTAGAAATGGACTTCTTCACCGAACGTACACACGGATTCCACACCACGTCGTGTTAAGCGTCTTTATAGGCGTTCATATGCCTTTCTGGGCAGTCTCACTTCACCCTCCTAACCGCTTATCCTGGTCAAGGTCGAAGGGGGACTGGAACTCATCCCAGGCAGCACTGGGCACAAAGCAGACAAACACCCGGGGAGTACACAGCCATAAAGTCATACACTATGGGTAGTGCAGAGACACCAGTTAGACGCCACACTAGACTGCGGGAGGAACCCGGAGCGCCTGAAAAACACACATTACACACGAACAACGTGGGCACACACACACACACACACACACACACA